CAAATTTTGTAGCACGGCCCAGGTCTAGAACTGGCCTTCACTGTAGTTAATTGGAATGAGAACAGAAACCTATTCCCGTGCAACAGGATTAGCAGACTGATCACATTAGCATCTCGTGATGAATTGGAATTCACCACCACCCAGCTGGTTTGAGTGCCAGCAGCAGTTGAGCTGCAGCTCCCTCTCTTCATGGTGTACGTTATGGGTTAAAGTACCCCATGCCTTGAACAGTGCATCTTTATGCATCACTGATTTTCCTTTGGAGGCAAAATTTGTGTTACAGCTGAGGTAAAAAATGTGTGAACACAACCCTGTTAATGTCTAATGTTAGAGAAACATTCTTCTTTGAACAGGAAGAGTTTACATTTAATGCCAAATGATGCAGTTTTAAGCGTGGTATATTCTCTAGTCTCATTTGACATTGGATTTACTTGCTTTCTGAACAGAATCCCAGTTAAAATGGAAAAGGTCAGTGATCTAACTCTGCTCTGAGATTTCATTTTGTATCTGTACTGTTGGCTTTTTTATCTTTCTCAAAGACCTTAGTTCCAAAGAATGCTTCTCCATTGCCAAAATTCCACATGATCTTGCCTTCAAGGAAACACATCCATTTTTAGCAAACTAGGAGAGCCTTTCTTTAAAGTAGGATTCTGTTAACAGTGATTTTGACCCATGAAATGTGAACACAAGTCACATTATAACAGCTGTATTTCACTCATATGCTTATTCATAGTGAAATCCAGCATTTGTGCTTTGGGGGGGAAGTAGTCATTTGTTTTTTGCAGTTTAAGAGAAGCAGAAAGGATGTGCATATACATGGTGAAAGAAATAATCTGCATCACAGTGATTATTTCTTGTTAAAAAATACAAAAAATAATACCTCACTACAACATTCATTATTTTCTCTGAGAAATAGAAATATTTGTGGAAATTTTAGTTTACACAATGATTTGTACTGTAACTAACACCTTTTTATTTTCTGGTTGTTGAAGTCATTTTATGTATAAAGTAGCAGAAGAATATCACTAAAACAAGTCTCCATTGACAGGATATTTTAAATAAAATACCTTAGTTTGTTCCTTTACCTCACTTACACTTTCTCTTTTGAAAAAGCACCACCAGCTAGTGCTGTACTGCAGGGCAACATATATGTGAATGTATAATGTATCACTGGAATGCTTTTGCTTCTGGTTTTGTTAGAGTTGTGCCTTTCATTCAGGTGTTTTTAGGAAGAAGGTGGGAAAGAGGATGTTGAATTTTTTCATGCAGAGGCTGTTGTACTCTGCCTCATTTCTGGTTCCATCTAAGGTCCACTTTCTGGCATCGAAGATGATTCCAGAGAAACTGGACTAAAATAAAAAAATGTCACTGAATCTTAGGGATGCTGCACTGTGGACTTTGGAAATTTAAATATTTGTTGGAGGTTTGCAAGGGGGCAAGGAGGGGATTGCAAATAACCAAAAGCAGTTCTTAATTTACAGATTCGGAACTGACATTATTTTATCGTATCTTGCTTCTGTGTAATTCTCCAGGTACTCTTGTTTTAGCTTAGTTTTTTGTTTTTTTATTCCCTAGTGCTTGCCTGTGCTTGGACACATGGAATCATGGATACTGTGTAAGACAGCATTCTCATGGTCATCATGAGTAAAAATGCTGCAAAGTTATTAACCAAACCTGTAACTGGTTAGACCCATTTTGAATTATGTAAGAGACTATACTGCAGCATCAAAATTCAGCTCTGATTTAATCTGTTTTCCACTGAATGTCTCCTGCTAAATAGAAATGCCAAGTTCTAGAAATCAGTGCAGATTGAGAGAAGTCTGGAAAAAGTTAGTCATTGCTGCTAACCAGCCTTGGTATCTCTTTTCTATCACACTATGAGTTCATTTGTTGTTTAAAAAAGTATATTTTAATTTCTTCATACCTAATGTTATTTTTGCAGGAAATTATTTCTTTAGAAATACTAAATCTTAGCTCAGAAGTGTGAAGTTCTTGATTAGTTCAAGCCTTATGGTCTGCACAGTATGTAAAAAATAGTTTTTAAATGTTCTTTGGTAATATAAAGCGAAACAGAAAGCAATTGAGAATTCTCATGTCTGAGGATAAACCTTTCCAAAGCAGTTGATAGAAACTTTTTATTTGCCACTCTTCTGCCAGAAAACAGGACTCACTACTTGGGAAACCTATTTCTCTGTTAAAATGGGTTGTATTCAAACTGCCTTTGCCAGCACAGCTGTGTGAAAGAGGGGTAAAGCTGTGAGCTGAAGGATGTTAATATATTGTGAGAGAAGAGGTGGAATTCATTTCCATCTTACAACACATAAACCAGTGTTGTAATAATTTTTTTAATAGGTGCTTAAACATCTAGTCAAAGTGGAAGCCAAGTATTTTTTCTAAATTACTCTTCCTTGTTGTTGTCTCTGAAATAATTTGCATCCTTCTCCCTTTCTTGGACAGTAACATACAATTGTACTGTGGAACCTCATGGCAAGTTGTGTAGATCAGAGATAATTCCAGTGACTGCAAACACTTACTAGAAACTTCTCAGAATACATAGCTTACATTGAGGACAAGTATGTTTGCTTGAAGAATCCCTCTTCTGGTACATTTTACAACAGTGTTGGCACACGGAGAGATCCCATTAGGAATGTCGCAATTTCGGACACCCCACTGTTGCACAGTTTTAGCACTATTACTGTGCTTTGAATCTCCTGCAGTGATACAACTTGGAGGAGGGGAAGGCTGCAGTTTGCTATCATTGTCACTAAATCATTAATGAGAATCCAACTGGAAGTAAAGCAGAAGAAATCCTAAGACAGACAAGTGCACTGTGGGAGATGACTTATGCAAAATAAGTGTCCATTGCATAAATTCACAGAATATGCTGAGTTTGAGGGACCTACAAGGATCATGGAGTCCAACCCTGGGCCCTGCCCAGGACCATCCCCAAGAGTCACACCATGTGCCTGAGAGTGTCATCCAAACACTTCTTGAACTCTGCCAGGCTTGGTGCTGTGACCATTGCTCTGGGGAGCCTGTCCCAGTACAACTCCCTTGGAATTGTATGCTGTGTCCCTCTAGGACAAACACAGCTACTCTATTGACTCCCTTACTATCTGCAGATTCTTCAGGAAGTTCTGATCAATCCAGCTCATTTGCTGCTTCCACTTAGGCTGGAGTTCAGTGAGTGCTTTAAATCACCAAAAGTAATCCCTGGCACCAGAACAGGGATTCTGCTCCCTGCACTGACATTTCTCCCCGCTACTGGCATAGGGTTTATGGGGCTGTGTGGTGAGGTGATCAGAAAAACTGCTGTATTAAATTCTGGTAAGGTTCTCCCACACACTGGCAGTACAAAGGGCCTGGGACAAGCAGTAGAGATAGGAAAACACTGGTTTGGCAGTAGCAGGAAGCAAGATCCATCACAGTGATCTTTCTTTGCAGTGATGCATTTATCTGATGTTTTGTCTGGATTAGCATATGGTAACATCAGGATGTTTATAGAGCCTGCCTTTAGCAATCTATATAAGTGCAGGTTTTTCTTCACTCTTAAAAGAAAAGAAAAACAAGGGTAAAAGGTCTTTTTCACAAAAAAAAAAAAAGGGGGGGGAGACAAAAATCTCAAACTGTTTTCTATCATAAAACAATAAAACAATTCTAGATATGCAATGCAGACTTACTGCTGACAACTTGTATTATTTTGTGATTTTAACTCCCACTATTAGAGCTGTCGGAAACGTTCATTTAAAAGTTGTTTTTTCAAAATCAAGTTCAGACGAGTTCAAGCTGAGATCAAGTTTGTACCTGATACCAGCTGGAAAGAAGTACTTGGTGTGGTTTGGGGGTTTGGGAGAGGGGGTTGCTGGTTTGGCTTGTTTTTTTTTTTTAATTTCTATTCTTTATTTTTTATTTTTTTTTTTAATTGCCATTGCTGAACAGACAAGGAGCTTCTTACCTTTTTGTAATGATGGATTAGTGCACCCTGCAACACACACCCATCACAGCCCCTGCTGTAGTGAGCTTCAGTCATTCCTGGAGGTTGGGTAACGAAGTTCCTTCCCACTTGTGTACTGAAGCTCATGGGTTTCATCTACAAAGTTTTTCATAATGGTTCTTCCTACTTAGATTTTTAATTACTGGTTATTTATCATTAGTAGAACAAATCTGTTCTAAGCATCAAGATAGACCTGGAGTCGGTTCAAGCTGCACTTGGAGTATTCTCCTTGGGCAACCTAGAGCAGCATAGAATGGAACAGTTTCTCCAAGGAGGGCTTTTTTCCTTTGGAAAAACTTCCCTTTACAAAACAAACATAAAAGTAATGTCAAGAGACACAAGACATATCTGCATTGGCAGTATTTAAAAAGTAATCTGTATTGTATGGTTTCTTCATGGAATAAAGATACAGAAATTAGTGTGTCAGTTTATTGTATGTATTTTGGGGTGGTAGCTTTTGTCCTTTATGCTGATGAGAAGTTCAAAACAAATAAAGAAAATAGCAAGTAAATGTGGATTTTTTTTTTTTTTTTAGTAATTCATAACATTGATTCAGGCTAGATGAGTTTTTGCAATGAATGTCTGCCCTCCCTTAAAATACTGAGGTGAAGCATCAGCTTAGCAAACAGTTCTCTGTGGGAACTCCCTGGTGACAGAAGGTGCTCAGGATGTGAGCACCGCTCCTGTCAGAACTTGGAGCTGGGTGTGTGTGTGTCTGTGAGAACTGCCCTTTGGCATTTTTAATCAACAACTTTCCTTGACCTTTAAAGAAGAAAGAACCCTTTGCCAGCTGCATTATTTATCACAGCTTTTGAAGGACAGTAATGCTGATGGATGTTTTATACCTGTAGACTGATGATTGGAACCGTCTAAGGGAATGTTTTGATTCTTCATATGCAAACGTGTTGTAGGAGATTTGGTTAAACTTCTGTCTCTTGCCAAACAAGGAACCTGATGAAGTTTTAAGGTAGCTTTACTGAATCTCTCTTTTTTTCCCTCCCTTCAGATCTGTCCCGGAACAGACTGTCGGAGCTTCCAGCAGAAGCGTGTCACTTCGTCTCCCTCGAGAGTCTTAATTTGTACCAGAACTGCATTCGATACATCCCAGAGGCTGTTTTGAACTTACAGTCTTTAACATTTCTAAATATCAGGTAACAATTGTCTTACAAATTTTGCTTTAGCACGAGTAGTCTGGGTTTGTAAATTTTGGTGCATCCATAGGTAATGCCAGCTTGGTGTCTAATCATCACATTGTTGTGTTGTGTGTCATTGAATCAAAGCAACCTGGACCATTCTTACCCACTTAGGTGGATCAGGGAACATGAGGATTAAGCAGCAGGTTTTAGAAGTGGAGTATGAAGAAATCTAATTCCAGTCTAAAGGAATAAATAAATCCAGTAGTTTTCATGTGAAGTACAGGCGTGCAGTCTGAAAAGAGATGATAGAGCTTTAGCATGGTCTTTGCAATTCAGCTCTCAGCAGATGAGTAGGGCTTATGCAATTTCCCTTTACCTTCACTGTACTGGTGGCTTTGAAAGATCTTTCTCAAGCATTAACACTTCACTGCCAGCATTAAAAGCTAATTGCTGCAAGTTGGCCCATCATGAAATTCGACTGTGTACGGCTTCTTCCATTTGTAGAAGGTCTTTTAAGAGATGTGGAAAGTTTCTCGTCAGAAATTGGTAGAGATATTAATTAAAAAAAAAAAAGGTCTCAGGCTATTCCCTTCTGGTGTTATAAACACTAAATTGGCAAAACTATTTTTTTTTTTAATTGATACAAAAATTGTACAAATAGGATATGGATCATGTATGGGTTTCCTAATGCTATATCTCTAGTGGGTGCAGTCCCACTGTCCTTACTTAATTAGAAATATACTTTAAATATTCAGTATCTAATGACTTCCTGTCTGGCATTTTGTGTGTGCTGACCTGCAGTGCTCCTTATGAGAAAGGCTTTTGCACTCTGCTCAAACTCCTTTGTGACAGAGCGTGGCCAGTTATCAGAAGCACCTGAAAAGGCACCAAAATGTCATATTGCCCCTCACTGGGTTCAAAAGCATCTGATCTGGCTTGGTACTTGATATTCAGAGTTTGTTCACACATAACTAGATAAAGCAAGTAGTGAAGAACAGCCCCACAGAACTACTTTTGCAGTGATTATGTAAAACCTGATTTGATCACCTAAATGGAGTGTGCTTTTTGTACGTGTCTTTCATTGCATTAAGATTTCTCATTAGTGTTCTGGTTATTTTGTTTTCTCTCTGTCAAAAGTCGAAACCAGCTTTCAACGTTGCCAGTACACCTCTGTAGTCTACCACTAAAAGTTTTGATAGCCAGTAATAATAAATTGGTTTCAATACCTGAAGAAATTGGACAGCTCAGACAGCTGACAGAGCTTGTGAGTATACACTTGATTTTTAGCTATTACTATTCAGTCTTTACTTTTTAATTTATGTGTTTATTAAATTCAGAGATGCTTCAGAAGAAATAACAAATTTTTAAACTGATCAAAATCCTACAGTTATTAGGATGCTGTCTGGGCAAGTGCAAGATCAACATCCTGTTTCTCACCCTGCTGAGAACTTTGTGATTGTAAACCAATCGCTTGTATGCAATGACAAGTTATTTAAATCTGCTCTTAGCCTAAAGAAAATTTCTGTCTGCCACAGCACTCCAACTATGTTTTGATTTTGTATAGAGGTGTTAGAAAAGAGTTTGAAATACTCTGAGGTTTGGTTTTTTTTAAATTATGTAAGGGAAAGATGCACTGGAGAGAAATTATCTATGTCTATGTCAATTCAAGTGTCTTCCCTATTTTAGAAAGGAGGGACAGACTGAATTAGAGCTCTTGGTACATTTGTTTCTGCAAAAAGCTTTTATGTAGCAAGTTGTGCTCTCTGAAACACTGTGGAATAACTCCAATGAGATAACTTGAAATAAATTCCCGAATCCGAATGCTTAATCTTTTAAAGCTTTTCTTTTGCTGTGTATTTAAAGTGAGAACAATGCTTCACATCAGCAACAAGAATTGATGAATATAAGGATCTGAGGTGTTCAATCCCTAAACAAAGAGCTGCATATTTTAGTTAACAGGCAGTGGTACTTCATTCTTTGCTTTTGCTTTGCAGGATGTGAGTTGTAATGAAATACAGACAATACCTCCACAGATTGGCCATTTGGAATCCTTGAGGGACCTAAATGTCAGACGAAATAATTTGGTGCGTTTACCTGAAGGTGAGATAAAGGCTGTCAGTTATAACAGCAGAAACTTCAAGCACTTCTTTTTTTTCAATCCCCTTTTCTTCCCCTGAGAGCTTGAAGCAGCATACTTAATTGTTTTGTGAAACACCTATTTTATACTCTTGCTTTTTCTTATACTCTTTTAATCTGCTGAATTGGATGTTTGTTTTCTATCTCCAGAGCTTGCTGAGTTGCCATTGATTCGATTAGATTTCTCCTGCAATAAAATAACAACAATACCAGTTTGTTATAGGAACCTCAGACATCTTCAGACCATCATGTTAGAGAACAACCCTCTCCAGTCCCCCCCTGCACAGGTAAACTGCAGCTAAGAAATCAGATTACTGGTTCAGCTAAAAAGGGGAAGAAAAAAGTTAAAAGCTGAAGGATTATATTACAAACTTTATTTAAGAGCAAGAGAACTTTTAATAAATTCTGTTGTATAAAAGTGCTAAATATACAGCACAGCTTGAAAAATCCCCTTTTCTTCTCTTACTTTACTGTATTAGTAGTCTCACCTGTGGGATATTACAAAGAACTCCACTGTTATCTGAACATTCCTGCTTTCAGCATAGGAGAGAGGAAGATCTGTCAGACAAGACAGATTTTGTGCCACTCATGTCAAAATTTTGATTGAGGCCTCAGTGCTGCTGTGTGCTGGTTCACTTTGCAGCAGAGGGCTCAAATTGGCCTTTGAGCTAGAAACTGCAGTATGGTTAGTGTTGCCTAAATGGCTGTGGGGAAAAAAAGACTCCAAGCCAAATTAGGTAGGAGATAAGGATACAAAGGCTTTAATGAGCCCCCAGGCTTTCTGGAATACCCCAGCGCTTGCTCCCAAAATACAGATGTCCACAGTTTTTATAATGATTTTGTCGTGGGTCGAGGCGGGACACAACACAAAACCCTTGTGGATCTAGAGGCTGGAACACTTTATTGCATGATGTCTGCTACTTTTATACACTTTTTAGGCTACACATGTCAACTCTCCACTGGTTCCCACATACATAAATATTCTTCCATTGGCCACTAACGGTGTTATATAACTCTGCTTACTGCGCATGTCACGAAACACATTTTGCTGTGTTCAGCACATTTTACCGGAAAACCATACTGTTACAAGTTCCAGGTCCGGGCGTAATTCTCCCCTGAACAAAGGTTCCTACTAACTTTAACTCTTCCCGAATCCCCCAGGCCAGCTGGGGGAGAACCACCACATGATTTTTGCCCAATCCCCGTCCTGCCACCATCCAGGTTCTGCCCCCGCCACGCCTCTTGGAAATTGGGTCTGGGGGCGTTTTGGGACCCCCTCTTCTTCATCTTCCTCAGAGCACGTAATGTCCTTGGAGGCCTTCCAGAATTCTAGGCCTGAAGGTTGTTGGGTCTACGGCTGTATCTTGTTCCGTAGGGTTAGGGTGTTCCTCTACAATTCTACCTTGAAAAAGAGACTAAACAGGCTGTGGAATTTAGGGAATTGATATGGGAATGGGTAACAGGGGTTTGAGCTGGTGTGTTAAGGGTAAAGGGATAATATGCTGCTACTCTAAAATCTACATTTACTACATAACTACTTCTAAGATCTACAAAAATTAAAAAAATCAAAACATCAAAACTCCAAGGTATCATTAGTGACTAATTTGATCTTTAGTGTGGATGTACAGACCCCTGAGTATTAAAGGCTCTACTCTGAGCTGCGGAGTCCCTGGTGGTCTAGTGGTTAAGGGCGCGGCACTATCACCACCGAGACCCGGGTTCGATTCCCGGTCAGGGACACTCCCGGGCAGGTGGAGCTCGTTAGCCCTTAAAAGGCAACCCATCTACGTCCTAAGGACCTCGCTGCCACCATCCAAGCTCCGGCCCTGGCAGATGAACCTTAGGATTAAAGGGTGGGCTCAGTTCCGCGCACACTGTGTCTCACCTAAAAAATCCAATGCGCAGGCTGGAAGGTGTAAAGACCTTCCCCGGATCTTCGCTCACGAAAACTGGCCATTATTATATTATTATTATTATTATTATTATTATTATTATTATTATTATTATTATTATTATTACTCTGAGCTGCTGCTTCTGAGTCAAGAGTGGCCCTTACTGAGTCCTGCAGTTTCAGTAGGGTTTTGCCTCCCTTTTGGAAGCAGAGACAGCTGTTACTGGCTTCATCCACTATAAATTTGAGCTGGCTTTGGCAGTCTGCCACTGCCATTCAAATCTGGGCATGGGTGGGATGCATCTGTTCTGATGCCAAGGGTATAAATTCTAGTACTTGTAAATGCTTATGTCTTGTTTGCATGATGAAATTTCAGCATCCAGCTGACATTTGCCTGCAGACCAGATGTACTTGGAGGACAGCTTCCATTTGTCTCTCGTGGGCATCCCATGATGCTCCACTATAGCTGTTTCTCTAAAACGCAGTGAGATTAGAATAAAAGATACATTGGTTGATGCAAACATGCTCATTTATCACTCTCAACTGCATGCTAAATGTCTGTAGTGTACTTTGAAAACGTAATGTCAAATTATACTGATTTAATTTTTTAAATTTTTTTAAAGATATGTATAAAAGGAAAAATTCATATATTTAAATACCTGAACATAGAAGCATGCAAGATAGCTCCAGATTTGCCTGATTACGATAGGAGACCCATGGGATTTGGATCATGGTAAGTTTTGCACAAGCCAAGTTTTGATGACATTCAGGAAAATTTTGTGAGTTGTCTGAGTTAATTACAAAAATAGATCCGAGGATTGTTCTTTGGTAAGTGCCTTGATGGAGGTGGCTTTGAAAAATACTTTTTATGTTGTATCATGGTGTATTCTAACAAGGTAACCAGTGTATAAGAAGTGGGGAGCAGTTCAGAAGACCTGGGCAGTATCATGTGAAAAGCAGTGTTAGAGTTGATACACAATAAAAAGGGAGTGTTGATATCTTCATAGGACACAGGGTGTGCTCTCATGTTGTTAACATGTATGTTCAGTTTGTAATACCTTAATGTGTTCCACAGACTTCCTGGAGAATATATCCCTGCAGTAATTCTTAACCTTTTGTACAGAATTTTGTGACTGCTGTGCTCAAACCACAGGTGTAAATGCTGATCTCCACCCCATCAGTAAACTGTTGTTTCTGGCAAGCTTTCACTTGGCACTGCTGCTTGGCATTGTAACACAAATATTGGAACAGCCAGCCATATCAGCTGCTGAATGAAGGTGTCCAGCAAAAAGCAGGAGTTAAGATTTATTTCTGTTACACGAAACGGAAGAAAGGGAGTCAGTGAAGTATGAAACTGAATATATATATATAAAAATTACCTCACTCATCTTGGAAGATGGTAATAAGGTGTGGAGGAGTAAGTTGCTAAAGGATGTGCTGCTACCGTAGCAGCAATAAAACACAAATGAGGGGGCTTCACAATAAATCACTGTGAGTCAGATTTATGAGGAATAACTTGCATGAGGGACTTGACAGAGCAATTCCTCATCAGCACTGAATGGCTTAAATTATTTTTTAGATGAGTGTTACTCAGTTTCCAGTACAAGCTGTGGCAGATGGTTGCTGCATAATATTGAGGATACTGACCTGCTACTGGAAATAAAAGGCTCTAAATGATAAAATATCATGATCTGTTTAGCTCTAACATAGTCTGTTTTTAAGAGTTTTTCCAACAAAACCAGTGGGCTGTGTGCTTACTGATTGTTTTGTACCTGTATATTAATATGGAAGTTCTCATAAATTGCTTTTGTGAAATGAGAAGAATTAATGTAATTTAATTATAGCTTGGAATTACGAATCTGAAAACAAGAGCAGAGCTGGTTGAGGATGCTTTCTCTAGAATTGCTACCAGATTCAGCAGTATGAAATGAGCTTCAACTGGCTTTCATTTAGCTATGTTTCCATACCCAAGAGGAGATAAGAGTTGGGGATAGAACTTTTTATTGTTACTGTGCTGTTTAGGGCATTTAGTGTTGCAGGTGATTCCTCCTGTCTTCATGTACCTGTGGAAGAACTGTCCATGGATCAGAGTACATATGAGAAGAAAGTGGTAGATCCAGTGAAAGAGAGGATCCTAAATTATAATACCCTCTGAAACTTGGTATGAAAGAAATAAAAGCCTTCAGCTCTGGTATGGTTAATATTTCCAGACAAGTCACAGGGGCTTTATGTTTGTTATCTTCAAAGGTGACCAATAGGAATAAGGTATCAGCCAGTCCACCCAGACTCTGTTGTTGGTGTATCTGATAAACTGGGTGTAATGCCATGGAGGTTAAGAATCTGAAACTGAGTGGCAGAGACTCTTTAAGGACGTTTGTGTCATGCTGTCAGTTCACTTTTGATCAAACATTTTTAATAGCAAGGTTGTTGATACTGCCAATAAAACAGGATACTGTGAAACATTATGGAAAGTGGGGGTTGGAGGTTCTAGCACAGCTAATTACTCGTTGTAGCCTTGTCAAATTACATCAAACTGTGTTACCAGAGTGGAACCTGGTATGTTGCAGTCCTTGTCCAAACATAAGCAGTGTGAAATTTATCTGCAGCAAGTTTTGTTCTGCTGCAGCCGGGCTCTCATTTGCAACTCTGAAGTTCAGAGCAGCTCAGGTTGGTGCTGGACTGAATGTGATTGGGAGGAGACAGAACTGTTCAAGCTGTGCAGCAGTTTTTGGCACTGAGGCAAATGTGGAGAGTCTGGAGTTGGAAGGTTTAAAATGCAAAGTACTCATGTGGTTGATTTTCTGGGACTTGGGCAAGTGTTCTTTTTTACAGGAGGTAAAAAATAAGTGGTTTAGTGTGGCTTTGGAGCTGTGCCTTTGAGATGTTGTCAAGTATTGTCTTTCCTTTGATTGTTGGGCTTACCAGACATTTGGCTTCTCATCCTTTGATTTCAAGACTTACATAGCTTCCCATGTAAGTTGTAGTTGACCCCAAATGCTCTGATCTGTCCAAATGCATAACTGTTGTTCCTTGTAGCTTGTTGGTCAGGGAGGACTAAAAGTCTTAAGTCTCAGCTGATTTCAGGGTGGCTGCTGTATGATTATAAACGTGTGAAGTGTGCAGTGTTGAATAGCTGGTTTTAGTTGTGAGAGCTGGGAAGAGGGGAAGCAGCTTTCGTGTTAAAAAGGAGAAGTCCTGGAAACTTCACATAATCACTGGAAACAGTGATTATGTATTTTTGAGCTTTCAGCTAACCTTAGTTTTAGGTGTACAGCTTTTCAAATGTCTCTAATTGAAAAGGAAGGCTGAAAGAAAAATTTTATCAAAATATTTCCTCATTTTTGAGATCTTCAATTTGCAGTGATCGTTCAACCTACAACAGGGTGCTCAGTAGATTCTGAAAATATCGATTCATTTAAAATAGAATTATACTGCAGATGGATTTTTTTTTCCACCCATGTTAAATACAGTATTTAAATTCCATTAACTGTTAGCATAAGTATGGTTCTGTTGTCAGTGATTCAAGGTAATAGCTCTTTAACTGCAGTGGGTGATTTCACGGTCATTCTTGCTTCTTTCCACCCAAAAGAAGTGTTTTTTCCCTTTCTTTCTAGTGGTTTATTATGCAAATGATCTTTCTGTTCAAATTCAGGGCCATAAAAGTGGAACTCCTCTGAGTTAAAACTCAGTGCAGATACAGGGGCTTGTTTTTTGCTGCACATCTGCATAGAAACACACGTATAGCCTAATGTGGCCCTCCATCCCTCCTGGAGCTTCTTTCCTCTTTCATGTCTATCTGAAAATTAAAATAGCCCTGGATAATAGTCTGTCACTCTTCTACAAAGTCTTGTGCACACATACTATGCTGCAATAATAATAATAATAATAATAATAATGATGATAATAATTTGAAAATAAATGTTTCCTGAAAGCAGGATTTCAGAGGGAGCAACAACTTGAGAGCAATATTAGTGAGAAAATGACCTGCAATTTAGTTAGGATGGGGTGAAGCAATTAGCTTCCTGAAATTCATTCTTCCTTGTGTATTATGTAGTAATTACTGCTGCAGTTCTCCCTGGGGCATCAAGTGCCAGTAGGACAGTTGAGCCATTGTGAAATGCCATCTGCAGCGGATCAGACAAGTTCCATTGTCTCTTTTACTGTAGCTATCTGTAGCAGTTGCCAGACTTGACATCTGTGATGGCTTTACTGCTGAATTACGTAGTTTTTAATCCCAGAAATTTAGAGAAGAACTGTATGGCTGTTTGGTTATATGTCTTGTAGCACTGGGCACATGTCTAATGCCTTTGTCTAGACATGTCATTGACAAAGCCTGTAGATGAAAACTGTATTTCTATATTTATTACATTATGAAATATTTGAAATACTGTCCATCCTTCTGCACAGTTTCTTAGGTAGGTGACTATGACACAGAAGTCAGTTATGTAATACATGCTGTACTTTGTGTAGAAGTTGTATAGTCTGTGATTTTAGGAATGTTGCAAGGGTTTATGCTTACTTATGGAAAAGCTTGTGGGACAGTGTTTTTCAACCAAAATATACGAATAGCGGAAAATAAAAGTTTGACTTGTTAAACAGTGAAATATGAGACCACTTTGCAGCTTTCTTTGTCATAATTTCTATTTGAGAAACATTTAAAGTATATACTTTGGATCAGCTTAGCTCTTAAGGCCAGGCAGCGGGAGGTGACGGCTGATGGACGAGGATGTTGAGTTGTAAGCCCTTGCCTCCTGCTCTATGTGGCAAGTGCATGGGAGGCTTTCAAACATGCTGAGCTTGTGAACACACTGCAACTTGCCTGGTGGCTTTATTCTGCTCTTGTTCTGTAATAGCTGAGAAGCTTTTGGTGGTGTTTATATCAGAGTAACTAAAACTGTGTGTTTGACAGCCACGAGGAACTCTATTCCAGTCGTCCGTATGGAGCACTTGATTCTGGCTTCAATAGTGTGGACAGCGGAGACAAAAGATGGTCAGGGAATGAAGTAAGTGCTGCAGCTTCTTTTTTGTTGAGTGCAGTGTTGTACAGAAAGAGAACTAAGCATACACGTCTGGAAGCATAATCCATAGGTAACGTGTATGCTGGTGTGCAGGTTGCCTTGAGCCACAGTTATTTCCTGCTTTATTGGAGAAAAACAAGCGTAATTTCATATGGGACAGACCTGAAGTTTGAACTAATAACAGAAATGTATGATGAAACAGTTCATGACAGATTAATTTGCTGGAGAATAAAAGATGAGAGAAATGGCATTCCTCATTTTAAAAAAGCTAATAACTGTATGGTATAACAATGCTGAGTCAATGAAGCAAATCTGAACATGAAAATTAAGCTTCAAAAATTAGATGGAAATGTCCTCTTTCTTCGCACCTTGTTTGAAATGTTAAAATCTGTTTGCCATTTAGAAGCAGGAAAACGGGACCTCTTAGCAAAGAGACTGTCAACTGTTCTTCCCAGGAAGAAATTTTCTTTTCCTCTCGGGATAACTAGAAAAGACAGTAGCCAAGACCTAAAGTGTCTCAGTGAGCTGTGCTCCAGACGTCTGCTTGCACTCCCAGCTTGATTGAGAGGGTTCTAGGGCTTTCTGTCCTGAGGTGTTTCCATACACTTGCAGATACTGCAAGGAAAACTGTAGCCAAGCTGGTTTTTAAAGAAAGCTTAACTACGTGTTTTCTTAAAACAATACATATAGCCGAATTTCCTTTAAATTAGTGTTTTGTAGGTGCAAAAAGGACAATTAAAATAAAAACACAAGACGAGAGGGAGTAGCTTACGAGATGTTATTTCTGAAGAAGAGGGTTTCCTGACTTCACTGTTTATTTTCCAAAGCCAACAGATGAGTTCTCAGATCTCCCTCTGCGTGTGGCAGAGATCACCAAGGAGCAGAGACTGCGCAGAGAAAGTCAGTATCAAGAAAACCGAGGGAGCGCAGTCGTAACTAATGGTGGAGGTAAATAGCGATCCTTGGCTAACAACATTTACTGTCATCATCATTAAAGTTCCAGAATGTTTGCTATAAATGGTTGTCTAAAGAGGGGGGAAAAAGGCAGAAAGATCTAGGTAGAATCTAGGAAAGCGATGTGGAAACAGTGTAAAAATGCTGCTGTTTTAAGGATGTTAAGGGCAAAATCAAATAGCAGCAGAATTAGGATTTTCTGGAGAACATTGTGTCAGCTTTTACATATATGCCATGTTAAAGTCTCCAACTTCTTTGAACAATATTTTGGAATACTGGATTTTGGTGTATGGAGTTTTGCTGTTTGAGCTGCCGGGCAAAATTCACAGCAGTAGTGAATTGTGACTGCTCTCGGAACGGAGTGAGCAATTTTGTCAGGGAATTTTGTATTTCCAGGTAGCACAAGTGTCTCATTCATCAGTCTTGCATTTTTAATCCAAACTTTCAAGCTGTCTAGCAGAGACTGGTGTTTGTGACATTGCTTTGTTGGGTTTTTTTTTAAGATTTGTAACTGAGATGGAGATTTAATGAAGCCAAAGTATATAGGAATGCTGTTTTGGATGGTTGTAGTAGCAGAGGAGGTGGCTTTGGCAGTAACAGTTGCTAGATTGTGTGGTGAGGCAAAGAGAAGTCTGTTTTAGACAAGCAGGAAAGGGGCGGGGGAGTAGAACAAGAATGTCTGCAAGAGAGTCTGGAGCAAGTTTGGGGGGGAGTTTTAAGAAAAAAAAAAGGCTCTGGTGTTCTGAAAGGGAGCTTGTGCTTTCCTCTGCATCCCCAGCACAGTATTTTTCACCAGGGTGGTTTGCTCAATGTCATGACTCTCAGAATCGCTGGGCAGAATGTAAAAGCAGTGACAAGTGAAAAAATTGCCCTAGATAATATCTCCCACACAAAGGAAAATCAATACTAGCCAAACTGTGCTGTTTCTTGCTCTCGTTTCAGTGGTTCCAGATGTCTTTTTTAACTCCTCTTTTTAAAATAAAATTGCAGGTGCCTTTACACAGTTTTAAAGGTGTTGTGTTGTTTTCTGTAGTGTTTTTCATTATTTCCACATACGCTTCTTATCTGAATGCAAATGCAATGAATGTAAGTTACACACGCTGCTCTCCATTTTGTTGTTGTAGTAGTAAAACCAATAGAAAAATCTGTTATATCCATTCTAATTTTTCTGACAGATATTAATTAGAACCAAGAGAAATTATTCAAAAATTTACACAGATCATTATACAGTCTTGGTGTTAGCTGACAAGTTTTGATATATAATATTTGGTACTGAAAAAAAATCACAGTGTTTACTTTACTTTTTCAGTCACTGCAAAAGTATATGGAGCCAGCAGTATAAAACTGCATGTTTGATAGATATTCATCATTGCTTTTTAAAAAGCATACATTTTATCATTATTTCAAAATCTGTTTATCAAATTTTTGCCTGGCAAAACCCAAGAGCTTTTAGACTGAGCTTTCCCAGATGGAAGCAAAACAGTAGGGCCTCAGTTCCTGACATTGCTGCTTTGTTGGGTCTTTTCCTCTCCTGTGGGTTATCTAATTATGGGTGTTTTCTTTGTGTTTGTGTGTCAAGTGGAACATGATCTCGATCAGATCGACTATATTGACAGCTGTGCCACAGAAGAGGAGGAGGAAGAGGTGAGGCAGCCCAAGTGCATGGACTCAGACAGCCTCAGCTCGCAGTTCATGGCATATATTGACCAGCGGCGAATCTCTAATGAGGTGGTGCTTTTACTTGAATTAATTAGATTCATACACCCCAGGAAAGCCCTTGTGAAAACTGTTCCCTGTTAAATCATTTGGATGGAACATTTTGGAGAGCGTCCTCAAAAATCAAACCTATAGAAACAGATTTTCGGCCACATAATGTTTCCTTCTGTGTTCTGTCAGTCTTAATTAATACCTATGTACACACTTACACAGTTTGGTGGCTCACTGTACAGACTACATGAATAACTTGTCTGAAAAAATCTTTGTGGCTGATCTGCTTAAACAGTAACTATTGTGCTGTGATTCAGATGTGTCCTTTCAAAGTTTTGTTATCTTTCAAAGAAGAAAGATATTTGCTCTTTGATGAAAGAAAAAAATAAGCATATCTTTATATTTCGTGTAGGAACCTGGTCCCTGTTTTGTCCACTTTATTGTTTATTATGTTTAAAATCAGTCACACAGATAATGAGAGATGCATTCATTATGGAAATCTCATAAATTCAATATCAAATCACAGTAGCTGATGAGACTTGAAGCACAGACTCAGAAGAGCAAAACTCAGAGAAGACAACTATTGGCAGGTCAACCCAAGGACTCTTTGCTGTAGATATGGAAAAGGCATTGGTCAGCATCAAAAAAGCTGTTCCTTGGAGTCTGTCTATTCAAAAAAATTAAACTACCTTTAGCTAAAGCAGTAGTTTCTCTAAAAAGACAGTGCAGAAGACACCGGAAAATACTACTTAGCAAGGCTAACTATACAATATAGCATCATGCATGCAGGCATGAGTGAAAATTGGCAAGTTCAAGTCAAAAAATTTCTCTTTTCCTGCATTAATGGGTGTCAGTAAAAGTTTTTAAGTAACACCAAAGGCTATGTGTTTGTGTTACCAATGGGGGAAATGATTTCATAGCTCAAATTAAACCTAAAGTGTTCTTATTCATCCCATGTTTTGCTTTCTTAGTCCCTCTGGGACCTGTCTTTACAGCATCATAAAAGATCATCAGCTACTGTATCCTGTATTTCTGAGAATCCACTCTGCACTGCTGTGCATTTGTAGAGTTAAAATCTGAAAAATGTATATACATACCAATAATTATTTTCTACCTATATGAACTTCTCTGCAAGATTCTTAATAGTGGAAGTTTTAAAGCTCCTGAAGTTATGAGCAGGCATATTTAATCTTGAAACTAATATTTATTTAAATTGGAGAAAAAAATAAGAGTGAGCTTGCCTAGTTGGAAATTAGCATCCTGGAGTTGTGTTTTGTGCTTCTCTGTCAGGTATTTTAAAGATCAGTAGTTACAGATGTAGCTCTGCAAAGAGATTGTTTGACCTTAATGTACAGTTTTCTGAATAGGTTGCTAACTTAATCTTTTTTGGTTTTTTGCTTAGAGCTCCCCAGTAAAACCCACATCCATCAGAGAATTTCAGAGAACAGAGGATACACGACGGCAATTACATCAAAACAGGTAAGAATTACTGTGCTAAGAGTAATTCTATCCAGAATTTCATGAAGAATGCAGAGCACGTATTTACTGAACATGTTTAGAGAAAGGCCTTGTTTTCTGTTGCCTCACCAGAACTGTGCATGGCACTTTATTGTTAAGTTACTGCTCCAGATTAGGAATTTGAGTTCTAATAATGGCAGTGAGCAAAAGGTGTGGCTGTTCTAGGCCAATGCTCAGCTTTAAATGAGTTGGTTAACAAAATATGCCTAATTAAAGTGTATACTTTTAAACTGATTTAATATCTGCTTCTTGGGATGTATTTTGTGCTTTGATGAAATACTTGACTAAAGATGTATTACATAAAGGACTGAAGGGATAAATGTCCTGCAGATGTAGTGGAAACGTAAGGGTTACTATGGAGTATGGGATGGGCCATGAGGTCACACTCTTGGTTGACTGTTGGTAGCTCTAGTACTGGGGGGGGTCAGTTTAAAATGTGCTTTTCTGTGCCATAATCCTGAGCTTATATCAGGAGAAGAAGGGATAGAATTGGAGTCAGACCTGCAAACAGGTCACTTAGTTTAATGAAGCAGACTTTTTGACTATGCCCACAGTCTTTAATGATGACTTAGCTTATTGGAGGGAATGCTTATCTGTAAAATAAGGGTCAGAGTTGGACAGAATATAAGTGAGGGGTGGTTAGGTTTAAGAAAAGACTTCTGGATGTTTAGTTAAAAGACCAGAAGATAAGCAAATGTGTAGCTTTTTGTTAATGAAAGTGTAATCAAAATTCATAGAATCTTTGATATACCATTTCAGTATTCTGTGGAGTGAAAGTGAATGTGCAAAGACTCCACGGAAAACTACCCCAGCTGTACTTGTTAGGGGAAAAAAAAAGAAAGACAACTGCTAGTCTTATGTATGTCATTACTTACACTGTCAGTAGAAGTTAATTTTTAATGGATTCTAAAATGGTATTGAAAGAGAAAATTAAACCAAGAGTGGTGTATAAATTTTTCCAGAGTTTTGGCAACATTTTAGTAGACATTTTGAAATGTGCAGTGAATGTGTAGATACAGTAGCTGCACTGATATAGGGGAGGGTAAGTCCTTCAGCATATGTCAGCATTCCTTATCCACAAATAAGGTACCTAAAGTAAAACAGCAGTCTGACGTGTTCTCCCCAAATAAAGTGGGTGCTCTTGGTCTGAAAGATGTAATTTTTTTTGCTTGTTTGTTTATTTATTTTTCCTATTTGAACATTTGTGGTCAGTGTGGAAATAATTAGACTTTACAAACACTGGTTTCTATGATACATCTGAAGGAAATGTGGGAAGGCTGGCTAGCCAGGGGAGAGGTGCTGTTTACATGGACAGATGTTAATGATAAAGGAAATTGTAGTTCACTAGGATAATCCAGTGTTTTCAAAATTTAACTGAAGGATAGCAGCAGGTCTTCATGTGGAAGTAATTAATCAATGATCTAAATGAATTTTAGCTTATTCATGTTATGCTGCAGCAGAGTGAAATTTTTGATAATAAAAAACAGGTCCTGTTGTTATTGCCTTCAAAATTCTGTAAAAACAGCCATATGACAATGAGTAATTTTTTATATATCAAGATTGTATTAGGCCAATACTTCATTTGTGGCAACCACAAGCTGTAAACTGCTTCCACAGTAATTCTGTGCAAATGCCTTGGCAGGCAGCCTCTTCGGTTTTTTTCTTCAGCGTGCTGGAGCCATTAAAACTCGAAGTTGGATGTAATGCAGACTTCATCTCAAGAGTGCTTCTATTAGTTGATTCAATTCAATAAATACAGTTTGTGCCTCTGGACAGACAGCGGTGCATTCCTGATGCAACAAAGCTGTGTGTACTCTGCTCTGAATACACTTCTTGGCACTCAGTTGAACCCAGTCCTGTCAGTTCAGAACAGCGCAGTAATGGATTTGTCATGTGCTTCGGTGCTAATTTAAGTAACTGGGAGACCTGTAACATATGGGTCTTCCACATCTCTTAAACTTCTCCCTGCAGAAAAGGTCGTAAGTCCACACACAGCAGCTGGACTGACATGTTTTGGAAATGCATTGTCAAGCGTGTCTCTGTTCCGTAGTTGTCCCAGGAGCAAAGGTCGCAGAGTTTAGGCTGTCAAGAGCATACTCCTTGATTTCCATCAACTCTCTTTCTAGGCAGCAACATGGCAGGGAACATGCTGTGGACTCTGGACCTTGGGAATTGTTTCAGTCCTAACAGCTGCCTTCTAGCAAAGAACTGACTGCAAAATTTCCTTTTATTGTTGATAAGATGCATAAGAGACAGATGGGTTCTTGTTTACCTCGTGACTTTGATGGCCTGTATCGCTGACAGTTAGGAGGTCATCACCTGACCAGTGAAGGGAGCAGATTTGTTCTGAAAATGTCAAAGGATACTGATGTTTAAAAATAATTTTGTTCTTTCCAGAGCAGAATAAGGCCTGCAATAACCAAAATATAGTCTTAAAAGAGAGAATACATCTTTGTGTATTTTGGCATTGTTGTTAACTAAGCAAGTTACATTTATTTAATTACGAACTGCAGTAGTTGTCATCTGACTTGGTATCACAATGTGTTAGTCATACTAAATTTCACCTTTGTGATTATCTGAAGCTAATTGTCTAGGCAATTCTCTTAGAAAAACAGTTGTAATCTAGAGAAGAATTCATCTGACAGTAGTTTATATGCATCAGTGGCCAATCCCCCTTCCACCTGGTGTCTACCTGCAGGGATACAGATGAATTACGAAGACCTGAAACTCTAAATTTGATGCAGGACAAAGAGCATCATCAAGTACTAAGGAGTTATGTGGACAGGACAGAGAGGTAGGGAAAAGAAACACAGTTTCTACTGATTAATTTTGGTATTTTCCCCTTCCCCCCAGATAACCATAATAGCCAGTTGTTCCTCTATATGAGGATCATCTGGAAAGTTCCTGGTTTGGTTACTCTTAGAGAACAGGTATAAAGTGCTGAGTATCTGAGTGTAATAGGCCATATGTTACAATCCCATTGGTACATCTTGGGCTGTAGAAAAATTTTATCACAATTAAGGAGAAGAGATAAAAATGACTTCACAAAATCTGTCATGCACAGTCAGTTACATCACAATCACAACAGTTAAAGAGCTTTGCTTACTAAACAGTTACTCTTCTGATTTGATAAGATACTTGTGTGTAACTGACAATTCATGTATGCAAAATTTTTATATTTAAGATAAAAAGTCTAATTTCTCTCTGTTTTTGCATTTGCCAGACCCCTGCCTGATTCACCTTATTTTCTCTCGCTGTCGAGTCACCACAGTCAGGTAACGCATTGAACTCCACTGTTTAATTCTTTTGGATGAGTTTGATGCAATACCAAACTGATGTTACCCATAAGGCATGGACTGTTACTCTGTAACCCGTCTGCAGCTCTGACTCCCCAGCCTGATGCGCTGTTTCATTCCAGGTGCCTAACACGGACTCTGAGCTGCACCGCAGGCACATCGAGCGCACCCGTCGGGAGGCCCAGCTGGCAGCGCTTCAGTACGAGGAGGAGAGGATGAGAACAAAGCAGATCCAGAGAGAAGCTGTCCTTGACTTTGTTAAGGTGCCTCCTTTTAGTACCTACTTGATACTTTATCTTTTCTGAATCCTGTAATTATAACTGATTGCCAAGGTCGTTAATATTTGTATGTTACACTCCTGGGAGTGCACAGCTCTTTATAAAGAAAATGGACACATTTGGCAGGGAGGAGGAAATCATACACAAAAAAATGTGATGTTACCTGATCTGTTTTGCTATTTTATGATGATAATAAAATGAGTTACTTCCAGGTAACTTGCATGGGTGCAGAGTTATGGTACGTCAGACTCTCTGTGGACACTGAGTCTTCACATTCTCTGTCACTGCAGTCAGGATGAAGTAGTCTGCTGCTTAACATGCTAGTTGACTGAAATTTATTTTACTGTTTACTGCTCTGGGGACCTACCCAAATCTCACCATCACAAATTTAAGAAAAGTTACAGTTAATATTTTGGGCTTAGTGTGGTCTGCAGAGATGCAAAGAATGGTTTACTGCATTTATTTCATGTATAAAGTTAGTTTAGAAAAAGGGTTTTAGCTGCCTGAAACTAGTCTCTTCGTTAGCACCAGCTAGTCTCAGGCCCCTGGCATTATTTTGTAGTAAAGCTGCTTTATTAAAGATTCAGCTCAGTCTTTCAGTTAAAGACTTAGCTGTACAGGATGCATTTTGTTCATTGATGAGCCTCTTGGGATTTGCAGGGTTTTTTTCCTTCGGTTGCCTTTGTTATTCATGAGCACTTAGCAGTTAAATTCCTCCCTTGGGTTATATTTTGGGTTTCTTATGCATCTTTCATATGCATAATTTTTTAAAAAATTTGGGGTTTTGTCTTATGTGGAATAAAGGCTTTTTTTTTTTTTTTTTTACTAACATCAGTGAAGTTTCAGCTGAGTGGAAACTAGCAATTTCCCCAATGCATGTTTTATTTAAAAACTAAGACTTCTGTTTTAAAATGCTTCTGAATTATGCCGTTTTGTTCTGAGCTTTTGTAGTATTATTTTCATTTTTCCTTTTTCTCCATAGCAAAAAGCATCCTTAAGTCCTCAGAAGCAAAGTCCCCTGGATAGTGAGGTAAGAGTCCAGTAGGATTATTACTAGGGATGTCAGAGTTATTTTCCTGACTGTGGAGGATTCTTCAGAACTGGGTTATGGCACAGTTTTTTCGTGCGTTATTAAGCTTTGGGTTGGGTTTTTTTGCTTGTGGGAACAGTCTAGTATTTCCTTCTGTTCATGCAGACTGCCTGTCCAAGTGTGTTGTTTTATTGTTTCTTGTATGTTTTCTATGTTCTCTGCAGAAAATAGATTTCATATTCCGTTTTAACATGATCCTTGCAAGCAGTACAGTTTATTTGCTAACAGGAGTATTCAGACAAGTTACTGTGTTACAGTCATCCTTCACTGATCAGTTTTCTCCCATTTTCCTATTATTAGATCACAAGTTATCCCAGAAATATTAGAATTTTGAGGGCTATCAGAGAAAGAAATAAATATTTTTTCAAGTTTTTTTCTACTCTAGTTTTATAATCAAAACCAGTAAGTCAGTAGGGAACACAAATCAAGGCTCAGTCTTCTAGAATATACAGAGCTGAGCCAATGGCATCTGTTCAGTCTCTGCTTCAGATTTCTGCATAGTAATAGCTCTTCCACTGCTTGCCATCCCCACTTGCATCCAGAGGAAGAGAATTCACTTGGTAGTGTAAATCAGATCAAAACTTTTAATGATATAATGAATATAATAGTTCTTTAGCAGCATTTTCCAATTCACTCTTTTTTATTAGAAAATTACCAAAACATGGGGTAATTGAAATAGTTTTTGCTCCTTTTTCTTCTTAATGTTTTTCTGTTCTTAATTTATTCTTCTAAAGGGTCCTTTGTTCTACCACAGTAAGCATTGTCAATGCACAGTTTTCTGTATTTGCTTGAGACAACACAGAAAGCAGAATAATTGATTTTTTAGTATGAATGCACTGTAATTCATGGGTCACAAGGCTGTATATTCCTACAGGGTTTCATACACTTCAGGGGTTGTTTTAAAAAGCCTCACAGTGTGATAAGCAAGCAGTTCATGTTCCAGAGTTGTCTGTCTGTTCACATACCATGTGTTTCTGACATTGTGTGTGTTTCTGACATTACTCCATCTCTCCCACCTCCCAGTGTCCCTTTCCATCCAGAAGGTCTCAGCATACTGATGATAGTGCCTTGTTAGTGGTAAGACCCTGCACGTCATGGCCTTTTTATGTGGCAGATTCTAGAGCATAGAAGTAACATGTGATTGTCTCAGATTAGACCAACTGATTTAGAGCTAATCTAAATAGCATAAAACATGACCATCTTCACTGAAAAGTAACTTAGCTGTGAATTATAATGTCATGAATATGTTGACACTTTTGCTGTCAGCTATTGGTTAATAATACAGTGATGGTTTTCTGCAAAATAATTAAAGCTTGTCTTTTGCTGAGAGCAGGAGAAAACTACTGATAGTAAAGAACAGTTTCTAAAATGAAAAATTCACCTCTAGTTGTTCTGGTTTGATTTCTTCTCTGTTCAGCTGCTTCCTAATTGATGTACTCTTCAGTGTCAAGTAAGCAATTTTAATGCCTGGAGTACAACCTTCTACTTTAACCTGTCTGTGTCCTGCACGTGGGGGTTACAAATACTTGGCACAGGAAAAAACTGCTCTGCATATGAATGCTACAAATCATGAAATACTCCTCATACCATTTTATTGTTTATTGATGAAAATGTCTTTAAGATCATCTGTTTTCACCACTTACCAAAAATAAAAACATTTATGTACAGAATTCATGTTTTATGCTATTTCTTCCTTTATGGCATCTTAGGAGTGTAGCACAATTAAAGAATATAATGCTGTAATCCATGTCTGCAAAATAAAAAATACACTTGATTTGCCTGCTGTTGCATGACTGCATGCCTAGAATTTATTTTCTTAGTTTATGTGCTTCCATTGTCTGCCTAAATTTTCTTTAGGCAGTGCTCTCAGTTAGAATATCTCTCTCCTGTACGTGTTGGTCAAGATATTTGCTGTGACCCCATTTCTATTTGATTGTGTGATCACATGACTTTTGTTGTAAATTAATAGATAGAATTTTCAGAAACTATTTTTAAACTGGCTTCCATTGCTGTTTTGTTTCCTTTGTGTCTTTAACCAAGTTACATCCTTCCACCTCACAAAAAAAGTGACCAGGCTGGCAGGAAAACATTGAAAGTGATCATTTCTCTTCATTTTTCTTTTAATTCCTTGCTCTTTTCAGCAGTGCTAAACTATAATAGTATATGAAATGCTGGAGTTTCTGAACTGCTGAAGTATGATCTGCAACTCCTTTCTGTAGTGGAAATACACCCTGTGTCTGATCATGACATATGCCAGGGCAGCTGTTTCTGGCAATTACTGTAACTGGAACATTAAGCCCATACTAGCTCATGAATTTGTAGTGTTTTTTGTTTCCACAGATGTATTTTATATGGTAAAAACTTGTTCAACACTAAGGAAATGTTCATCAGTTTGCTTTAAAAAAAAAAAAAAGAAAAGTTTGTCATGAGACTTGAAATTACTTTTACCTTTTTATATTTTATTGCATTTTACTTGACATTTTCCCCAAGGCATTTGAAATTTAGCTAGGTCTAATTTCTGAGGACATAAGGAAAAACTTTTAAAAGTACTAAGTCTAATAGTTAGGTAGAAAGCAAGTGAGCTTTCTTTTATTTTACTACTTCGCTGTTCTGGTATTGTTACTGCTTTAACAGAAACTTTCTTTAAACCAAAATTTAAGTTGTGAATCTCCTTTTTAAAATCTTTAATGTTTTGTTTGGTCGTGTTCTTGTTGTCTTTTATCACTAAAGTTAAAATGTATTCACGTTGCACAGTTTACTCTTACCATTTCCTTCTGTTTATAAACAACTTTAGGACAGTCTAGTTGAAGTCCCGAAATGATTGCCCTTACCTTCTATGAATTTTTAAGAGTGCAGTTTAGTTGTAGTTCCTTCTGCAATAGGTGTGATGAGAAGTGGAGTCTGGCTGTAGTGCTTCACTGCACACCGTGGTGGATTTCTTTGTGTTGACTTGTGATAGCCAGACTAAGTAAAATGTTGTTGAATAAACATCATCACTGGCCTTTCTGAGAAAATAAAAGTTTTATATTAGCCGTGTCCTCTTGCTGTTCTCACAAGGGTGGTCAATTGAGATTACTTGTTGAACTGGTATCAAGGTTTTAGACTTGGCTAATGATTTCAGTCTTCATTACCTCTAAATTTCACTTTTCTTCAAATATTTTCTTGTTTTCTCCTATACTGTCCCTTACAAGGTTAGCATTATGGAAGGGAAAAAAAAAACCCAAAACATCCTCTCTAACTGCTGCTTGATTTCTCTGTTGTGAAGCCCATGAGGTGCTTGATAAGCACCAGGCAGCTGCAGTGACCTCTTGTTTCACAACCTTTGTGTCATTGCTGCCTTGTGCTCCCTTCCTTGCGTTGTGTTTTCTTGTTGTGGTCTCAAACGTGGCCTGAAGCTGTCATGTTACTGTTAGCATGTGGGATCTCAGAAACATTTTAAGTTAAGGCTCTGAGGCACCAGAGTGTTACAAATAATAATGGTATGGGTAAAGTAAGCAGAACTTGAATTATGCTAAATTGTGCCCTGGAGTTTTCTCTCAGACCGTTGGTATCCGTTTGTGTATTCAAATATTTAATAACCTAATTCCCTTAAAATATCCTTATTTGGTTTGTGCAGGGTGCTGGTTGGGCTTTGCTTTGGCACTCCCTGTATCTACAGTTGTTCCTGGCGCAGGGAGATTTCTCTGACTTCAGTGCTAGACCTAAAAACCACGTGCAGCGTGTGCAGAGGGTGGTGTGAGTCTGAGCTGCAGCATCCTGGCTCCTCTAGTATTGTGGCTGCCTTTTCTTACAGTCGTTCTTTGCCTCACTTCTTCCTTTCTTCCCTCTCTTTCTTTCCTTACTGTCCCTGACAGAATGGCTTTGAGCCTCTCTTTGTGTTTGAGATTGACAATAACACCAATACCATTAAAAGGAGGCCAGGGACTCGCAAACAGGTGAAGAGCATGTGGTGTGTTGCTGTTGTGATTGTCCTGCCCTGTGCTGTGCCGTGCCGTGTTCCCCTTCCCTTCGCCCACTGCTGGGTACGTGCATTGTGATGACTTCTTGTTAGTCTGTGTCAAGGTTGCCCTGCTCTTTTCATACAGGAATAAAGGCATACCTCAATGTTACAGCCCACCCAGTTCTGGTTTATTTTACTGTTCTCCTGTCCTAGCTAATGTGTTGTGAAAGTCAAGTGATATTTTGAAACTCTTAAAAAAGACAAACCAAAACAAACCCACAGTTTTGGCTCTGCCCTGCTCTGGAGAAAAAGGCTGTCTTGAGAATCAGCTGTTAAATCTGCACAGGGCCTGAAGATGTTTGTGTGTAAGGTTTACCCTGAGTACAAACCTCTCCTTTTAGTCTTTCTGGCTGTACTGTTGTGAAGTGGCAGAATAGTTGCAAATGTTTTAAATACTAACACAAGTGTGTTTTTCACTACCTGTAGAGTTTCTAGGTGACATTTGATGTTCCTTCCTGTGAAAGAACACTCCACTTTCCTCACTTTGCTATTCAAATGCTGTTTCAGAAAGTACAGTTTCATTCTGGAGCCATTCAGTCCTCAAATGTTTACTGTGTTGAAAACAGAAGACGCAGAATTTGGCCTTTTAGATGGAGTTGTCAGTGACAGAAGGGCACACTGGAGCCCCTGTTCTATAAACAGGAAACGTTGTTTATTTGGTTGGATTTCATATTGGTCATAATTGAAATGTGGCTGTGTTTTATTTATGGCAACACTGTAAATCCTGACACTGATATCTTCCCTGAGAGGTAGATTCCACCCAGGGAATCTCATTTACTTTGTGTGTAATCACAGGGATCAGCATTAGGTGTTTGTGGCAAACACAAAGTATGTATTACTGACCGCATTATATTTTCAGATTTTACAAAGTTGATGGGAAAATAACTGACTAAAAATGCACACCATCCTCAAAACATTAAAAAGAAAGCTATTTATTTTTAATAGAGGCCTAGAATAGGGTAACATTCCCTTTTTTTCTGATGGCATAGGTATTGCTAAAAAAGCTTTTGCCTCATTTACTGTTCTTAATTCTGGTTTTAATGTCACTTTGTTATGTGTAAAAGAAACATTGCACCTCCCAAGCTTATTAGCCAGAAAGTTCAGGAGGGTAGGAAGGCTTTAAATGTAGTTTAGCAAGTATGGATCTGTTGCTTGTTGAGTGTTTCTGAGAATGTGGTCATGGTCACCTCTTCATTTTGAACTTTGCTGCATTCCACCTTTGTGCATGACCTGTCAGCTGCTCTCTAACTCTGCTACTGCCTTCTCTTTCTTTCTGCATTCAGTCACTCTCAGGGCTGAACCAAGAAAGCTGTGCTACTACCCTGCCTAGTGCCTCTACCTTCAGTCCCGTCAAGGTATCTCTTGCTATTATCATTCACCAGTAGAGCCAACAAAAAAATCTCGGATCCACACATCTGTTTTAACAGGTGTTAGTCTGTCAACATCTAATCAAAAGTTCAGGTAGGGTATGAATCCGATTCACCTGATTAAACTGTAGTAGGTATTACCTCATCTTAGCTTTAGGCTGTGTCTACAGGAGGCCTGATCTATAAAAACATGGTAACCAGTCTCTGCTCCGAGGGGTTCTTGGTTGTCTTTGATGTTGCTTTTTCTGTACAAGATCATTTACCCTTGATCAAGTTGAGTTCATCAAAAGTACACTCGTATTCTACTTTACTGTTTCTTTCTCTTCTGTGGAAGCTGCTATACTGAATGCATTTCTCACAAGAAATCATTAGTCTGTGTAAGCACTGGGATAAAACCACAGTGTGTTTCACTGGAGAGGGATGTTCAGTAAATAGCAGTTTTGCCTTAATAAAGGTGTCAAAGAGGTGTGTATCTTTACTGAGACCACTGTAATGCCAGTTTTGCATATTGCTAAATACCTAGGGTTTGGTGTTCCCTTTGCAAAGAATACTTTTTCACTTTGGGTCGGAAGGAAGAGTAAACAGTCAGTGTTGTTTCATCATTGATTTCCTCAGAAAAAAGCAGTTGTGTCATTTCTACAAAGAAAAAAGCTTTGTCTCTGCTGAGATGAGACTTTGGGAACAACATACTGTGTTTTTTCACGTGTCTGGTTATTTTTCTTAAACACATTTAGATGATGGAGCTTTTTTTTAAAACACAGCAAACTAAAATGTAGTCACAGCTTTTCCAGATTGCACCACTTATACTCTTCTGCCTTTTGTTCACAGAGTGATGACAGATCTACCATCTCCCCTGGCTCACCTACCGCTCAGACAGGTAACAGGGAAAGGAAGAAAAATTTCTGGAAAATAAGATCAAAATGCCTGCTTGCTTCTTTGTGCTATGAAGAGAAGGGGCATCTATTTCAGCCTCTGTATGTGGCACTGCTGTGTTTGAGAATTTACCCAGTTATTTGGATCTCCTTAGAAAAACATGAGGGAAGAGACAACAGGGATGAAGCATGTCCTCAGGCAGAGCGCAGGGTTTGGCTGGCTTAGGCCTTCATGCAGGCTTTGGCACACAGATGCATTCAGCAAGAGTCAGAACAGTTGTTGGAATTGGTATTTGGAATGTGCTTTGCATGCAAGTGTCCTTGGAAGTGCCTTTTCCTGCTCTGTGCTTTTATCATGCATGGCTGTAATTTATTTTGTCATTATTACATAAAAATTTTTGGTTTGTTCTTTTTAATTACCACATTGCTGAACCCATTTCCTATTTAAACTCTAACCATTTCCTTCTTCCTCCTTCCTTTCCTGTGCCTTTTCACATTTGTTTAGTCCACCTTTCCCCTCCATATCCTGGCCATGCAGCCCCGCCTTCCTATAGAAACCCTTCCCAGCGACCTGAGAGTTTCCTTTTCCGAACAGCTGTCAGGGATGAAGCCAAGAAAGGTAGGTTATATAGCTCAGAAAACAGCTAGTTTTGCTACATTGTATTGACATCTGCATTACCCGGGGTTTGCAGTGTTTGGTTACTTCAAGTCTTTATCATCAAACTGCTTTTAGAGTGTTCCATTTATAGACAGGTGACATTACATACTTTGTGAACAAACTGATTTATTTAGAGCTGTCAGATATTCCTTTGTCATATCTGTGGAAATACAAGAATTTGTTATTCCTGGTCTGTGCTTACACCTTTGCCACACAAGCCTTCATCAACTGATGAAGGCAGCTTGATTAATTTTGCACTGCACAGTAGCATACACCAGAATTGCAGCTTCTGGAGAAACACTGAACCACTTCAACATACTCCATCTGGCAAAACTTTGTCCTCATTTGTACGTGACTATTACCCAACAGAAAGAACAGAATCTAAACAGAAAGGAAAATGTTAAAGGGCACCTCATTTAGATTAGTAGAGCATTGGTTTGATTAATAATTAAAGGCAAAAAAGATTTGTGGAAAGGAATGTACCGTCCCTGTTCTGCACGTGCGGTGCAGCACCGAATGGCATGGAGCAAAACTGTACTCAGTGATTTTCTTTGCTTCGTGCTTCTCTTTCAGCTGTTGCTTCATCCTCTGCTCGTGCCTTGTCTCCTGCTAATGATTCTGCAGACCCTCAAGTGAGACAAAGCTCCAAACAGCGAGAGGAAGAGCTGGAGCTGATAGAGCAGCTTCGCAAGGTGAGTGCTGCCAGGAGCCAGAGCGTGGACATTGTAGTAATTGTGTGACCCTGCTAAATCTGCCTTTGTCTTCTGCACCAGTTTCACTGACCCAATACGGTGCATAGCTGACCAAAATTAAGTGGCGTGGTATTGTCTGCGTGGTTCTTTCAGATGGGTGCAGTGGTGTTCACTTGGTTGTTTGTGCTAGATAAAGTCAGCTTCAAATTCTGTAAGATAAACTATGCTGACTCCTGCTTCTGAGTGTCCAGTGAACTCTGATTTTAACATGAATTTGTGCTTCCTTTCTTCCTTATCAGCTTTTACACTTGTAAGGAACTCCCTGGAAAATTGCCTCGCTGTCCCCTTTCAATCCCTTTTTTAAAACTCCTCTTTGCTGTAAAGCCCAGAGAAAAGCAGATGGAGAGCAGAGACTGCTGCCAGTCATGCTGACAGCGTGGTTTCCTCATGTGTTCTGGATTTATCTATTAATTCTTGCCTTATCCTTAGTTAAGTGCAGAACATTTGAGGCACAAATGTTTCTTATATTTGTGCTTTTTGTCTGTCCAGGCCCATCACGCTCCTATTCGGTGTCCAGATACAATGCCAATAAACATGACTATTGAGAATGCCACATGGCTTGTTTCTGAAGAGCATGAAGGAATTCCTTGAGGTGCTCCAATTAATTGTTGGAATTTTCCCAATAAATAAGAATTTACTTGTTGAAGCCAGTCTTAAAAGCCGTAAGCACCCCAGATGGACAAAGAGGATTTCTTCTCTTTGTAAATGTTATAGTAAGGACAGTCTTTGTCTAAAAGGAGAAAGTTACCTTAAGTAAAACAAAACTTGGTGCTCTCTGCACACCCTCTCTTCTTTTATCCCAGAATATTCTCTATGTAGTCTCTCTTGTTCTAAATCTTTTTTAGTACTTAAAAATTTAGATACAGTATTACAACTCAGTGAAATTCACACAGCATTATTTTAAATAAGTTTGAAAGCCTGAATTGAATTTTTATTCATTTTCTTACACAAATGCTAATTACCTCCTTTTTAAAGGACTGTTTAGGGTGAGTTCAAGTTTTTATTTAAAGACAAAAATGTTGTCTTGACTTTTGTTGACTGTGTTGTCCTCTAGGCTACAATTATTGTCACTCTCTTTGGCAGAACTATTCTCTGAGAATATGTAGGGTTAGGAATACTGTTCCCAGATCCTGATTTCCATTATTTTTGAATAATGGTTGTATTAGTCCACTGTGCTGTACAATGAGAACTGTTCTTCACTGAACTCAACTGCTGCCAGACTGCAGCCAGCTCTGGGCCTCAGCAGTGCACAGAGCTCCCCTTGAGGTTATTCAGAAGGCTGGTGGGAAATGCCATGAGGATGGACAGAGCCGGAATGCAGGAGCTCTGCCTTGTGCGAAGTGTTGTGCAGAACGGGTGTGTTGGAGGTGCCCAGCCCTCAGTCCGTGTGTGTCCTGTCCATTCCCGCGCAGAACATCGAGTCGCGGCTGAAGGTGTCGCTGCCCAGCGATCTCGGAGCCGCTCTCACCGACGGTGTTGTCCTGTGCCATCTGGCCAACCACGTGCGGCCCCGCTCTGTCCCCAGCATTCACGTCCCCTCCCCTGCTGTGGTAAGTGTGTCACAATGACAGTGTTTTATAGCTGCCCGGAATGACATCCAGTGATGTCCTGTGATCCAGACAAAAATGCTGAACCGAGTGTTCTCTGTGAACTTACATGACAAAAAAGTAACCACCTGTCCTGGTTGAAAAAGATCTGTAGTGTCATGAAAAGGAATTCTGTTTAGGTTTGTTTCATTTAAATGAAGTTACCTCTGGCACGGATTGTAAGCAAATGTTAACATTTTCAAGTCCTCCCTAAACATGTTAACTTGAAGACTAGTGAAGTAAGAGAAAGTTCAGCATGAAAACTGAAATAAGGTATTTCAAAAGATCAAAACACCTGAGAAGTTTGGGGAAACCGATAGTGGGGAATTACAACATTCTCTACAAGTAGGATCCCACTGCACAAGACAGTGAAAACAGGAAGAGGGACTAAGTTGATTCCTGTGTCCACTTCACAGCACTACAAATTCCACTGCTTAGGAATTTTAGCAGAGCACACTCAAACTACTTGGAGAACACCATCTCCTGGAACTAAACAAATCCAGTCATACCTCTCTGATAACAGGGAAAAAAAGGTGGTCGTGTCGGGACTGTTGAGAGCAAGGAGAGAAGCACACAGAGAAGTTTGAAAATTTCTGAAGTTGTTTGTCTTATCCTGCCTGGCTCAGTGTTTCTGGAAAGCACTGAGGATGATCTGTTTCTGGGCACATTACTGTGTATCATTTAGGGAAAGCACAAAATTAGATAAAGGTCAAAAACTACAAGATAACGGCAGATTAATTACCTAATCTGTGTTTGAAGAATTTAAACTTCAGTGAAAACATTCAGGATCAGCTACTTAAAAGTCGTATGGACAGAAAAATTGCTTGTTATGCACCTTTAAATTGTATGAATAAAGGAAAAAAATGAAGATTGTTCCTGGGGGAAGAAGTTGAAATATGCATGTAGTGTTCTCTTGTCCTTCTTTTGGAGTCATTCTTTGTGTTGGTTGGAATTTGAACTGGCACTTACAGGGCTGTCAACGGTATCATTGTGGTTGCTCTCCCTGGGACTCCATGGGAACAGGCAGATGCCCTCGTTATTTTGAGAAGGATTGAGCTGGACACGCCAGCATTTTAGGCAGATTGTGGAATCCTTCAGAGCAAAGGCATGTAGCAACTGCTCAGAAGATTTGCGTCATTGAGAAGATCTCTTCAATGGCCTGGTTCTGTGAGCTGCTGAATATTCTGTGTGAGGAACTAAATCCTGGCTTTGTCATACGAATCCCAAGGAAGAGGCAGCCTTTAGTCACGTGGCTCCAGGAGCAGAGGAGGCACAGTGTCATTCCCCAGGCACAGTGGGATCTTTGTGTTCCCTTCGTCCTTCGGGAGAAAGGAGTCAGTGCTGGCCCTTAACCTGCTTCCTCGGTGGGGAAGTGCAGCTTATGGAGGGCAGAGAAGCAGCCCCAATGCTCATGGAAGTGTTGAACTCACAGAGGGCACCGGCTCCTGCTCCACAGACTGTGAGTAGCTTGTCCAGAGGAGCAGGGAGCTTGTGTCTCTTGAACCAGAAAGGAATAAACTTCAAGAACAGAAACAAGACAGAGCCTGTGCTGTGGTATGTCTGGAGAGGTGTGAAAGCTGACTGCAGAAAAACCCTCACTTGAAAAAATGCCAGTGCAATTCAAACAGCTACATCAAACACATCTACAAGAGGCTGACAAGTGGCAAGCTTCAATTCCAGTTTTCTGCCACTATTTTTTGGTTTCATCTAACTTTTTTTTTTTTTAACTCTTTGTTAATTGAAATAGGGTTTGGTGTCTATATATTTTTGCATTTTAGTAATCTACAACAGACTCTAGATTGCTTCACATAATGAAATTGCTCTGGAATCACAGCACGAAAGCCAATGTGCTGGTTTTGGCTGGAGTAGAGTTAAACCGTTTTTTACAATAATCAGGTAAAAGTGTTAGTTTTATATAACACTGGGTACATAAATATTGTAGAGCTTAGGATTGTTCTTTTTTTAAAAAACATTCAGCATTCATAACTTTGCTTTTCATAAAACAGCTTTGAAAATTGGACTTGGTTTTCTAAGAAAAGCAGACTTTAGGAGAGCCTGCTTTGAGTTAGACAAGCTTATGTCAGTGCAGTATGTTTTTGGCGAAGAGATTTATTAGGAGTTTTATTTAAGTAAAAAATTAAAATATTTTAAAATCTTGCCAGTTAAGAGCACTGTATGCCTTTGCTTCTTTGCAGCCTAAACTTACAATGGCAAAATGCAGACGAAATGTGGAGAATTTCTTGGAAGCTTGCAGAAGGATTGGAGTGCCTCAGGTACGTATTTCTGCTATCTTGATGTGATGCTTCAGATGCAGTTTTATGTGGGCTGCAGAAAACAGAACCTTTTTTGAAAGTTTGGATTAAACAAAATGATCAAAAGTTGAGAAGGTTCAAGTCTAAGCTGTCCTGCAGCACAGATCAGACTGATCTTGCAGGGTCTTCCAGAGCAAAATGAAGTCAGATACAGTTTATCAGAGGTCTGAGTCACTGTTGTACCTCAAATTCATAATAGCTGATGCAGATCAATTCTGCTTTTAAAACTGGAAAATTTTTCTCCAAAACCAGTTACATTTTCTTAAGATTAGATATGTGACAGCTTAAAAGTGGGATAAAAATTGGATAATGTTTTTCATATGTTGTTTTTATTCCAAAGCTTTTCATTCTCTTACATGAATGTCTCTCCTGTCTTACCAACATTTGCAGTGTTATGGGCCTTTCTCTGATGGTTGGTAGCTGTCTTTGCATAGATCCTAATTCTTTTGTTATGTACCAGTGGTAGAAGTCTGTCTTTGCTATCCTTGTCCCCTTTCGAAACTTGGAAAATCTAGGTTGGGAACATATAAAAATAGGCCATCTTACCCTGTTAGTCCAGTTATGCTGTTTTATGCTGTCCTGTCCTTTGCACTTTGTCTTGCAGAGCAGCTGTCTCAGTAGAAATAGTTTTAATACATCATGTTTTTCTGAATTTTTCTGTAAGTGCACTAATTGATGATGGGTTGTTACACTGCTAAACATTAATGTTTCTGTTGTAGATGGTGGTTTCTTTCTTTAGTATTCTGAAAGGGGAAAGTGGCTCATGTCCCAGATACATCTAAGGACAGTTCTTTAGTCAGTCATGCAGGGTTTTCTGGTGCTTTCAGATAGTTTCATTTGCAGGCATTTGAGCCCCTGGGATTTTAGGATGCCATGTTTATTGAGTTGTGTGGCAATTTCACATGGCTCACTGGTGAATTGTGTTGGAATGTGGGAGGAAGTTCTAAGTGATTGTTATTACTTTGAGATCCTGCACTATTTTGGTCCCCTCAGAAACTTTGGATTTTGATCCCAGCAGAGCTGCACAATATAAATTCATCTGGGGCAAAATTGTGCAATTCCATCCCATCTTCCCTATTTATAGCTCCCTCAAGGATGAAGATGTAATTTTTATGGGATTGCAGTACAGAGCAGATCCTGAAATGACCCACAGTTAAACAAACAAAAAAAACAATCAAGAAAAAGTCCCATGTAATCCCAGGCTGTCCTATCTGCTGCACCTACTCTCTGGGACCCTCCTGTTTTTCTCATGTATCTTGTTTTAATGTGAAATAGTTCAAGGAGAGTCTCTCTGGGAAAACTTCCTGGAACACCCCCACCTGAGCTCTGAAGTTGCTCTCACATGTCTGCATTACATATCCACTGAGATGTGAATGTGAGATACCTGTATGTAAGAGTGGCTTGGCAGCCTGGTGTGCTTTTCTTGAAAAAAAAAGCCTTTCATTTTAATACTAATTACAAAAATAAAAGGCTTTCTGAAAGCATGGATCTATGTAGGAATACTTACCTTCTAAGGGGAAGGCTACTTTTAGGAGAGGCTGATTACAGGCACTGCAGTGGAGCAGCCATTTCTGTAGGAGCTTTTGTGGTTAAAGCCCTCGGATCAAAGGAAATTGGCAGTTGAACAGATTGATACATGCATCTAGATTTCACTGATCATAGCAGCTACCTGTGGGAAAGGGAGGGAAAAGACACACAGTGGGAATAGTTACAGAACTCTTAAACTCTAATTAGTAATAGATATTTCTGCAGGATGCTGCATTCAGGCATCAGTTACACATAAATAATTCCTTGTCCTGCCGTTTTCATTATCTAAGTTACATGTGGAGGCTGAGTTTTGGTGAGTACTCAGCACCAGCAGCAGCTCAGAAACCTGTAACCTCTTCATTTCTGGAGAAAAATTATTTTCCCTAAGGTGTGTGTAAACTGCTGTTTTTAACAACAGGGAATAATCTGAGCTTTACAAGGGACAGGCACCTCACTGACACTGAGTTCTTTGCAATGGGAGTCTTGCAAATTTGTGTGTGAGAATTAACCAACTGTGATGTGTAGGTTGTATCTGAGATGTCTGATAACTGACTGCTTCGTGGATGTTGCTATGGCTCACTGACTGACCTTTTTTTTCTGTCTGTTTTCCCTTCCTGCTCACACACTCTGGACAGGACAATCTTTGTTCCCCTTCTGACATTCTTCAGCTAAACCTCAGCGTTAAAAGAACAGTTGAGACTCTTCTTTCCCTGGGGACAGATTCAGAAGAATCCAGTCTTGTCTCCCTTTCCGTTCAGCTCTGGGGCTTTGTGGTGTTTTACTGCACTCTAATGCTAACGCTCTGTATGTTCTATCGCTGGGTCTGTTTTCTCTAGCTGGGGGATAGTGGTGCTGCTTCCTCCCTCCATCGCTCCGGTGCTTGGGAACAGATTTTGGGTTTTGTCAAGACTGTGTGTACAAAGTGCTTTGTTTCCCACGGATGGGACAGAGGTGACAGGTACAATGTGTAAACACATTGGGGCACCCACACGACCATCTGTGACCTCATTCACATTTGTATTTGCTGTATCACACTGAGCAGATAAAATGCTTTACAAGGAGGAAGTGCAGTCCCTGGGCTAGACCTGGGGCTGAGCTGAGGACACGTGGCTGCATTCTGTAGCTTGCTGACCCGTGGTGTAGTACTGGGAAACTGCATTGTCAAGTTGTGCCTCTGTTTCCTCATCTGTATAATGGGAATTGCACCCACTTTGGTAAATTTCCCGAGGATTATCTGATGAAAAATGTTAAACAATGTGAAGTATTTTTTTCAGTGTCAGTGTTCTTGATGAGATCTCACAGTCTTAGGAGACACGGTCTGGTAAGTTTTGTCCACAGATCTTTGTAGCTTTATTTTTTTCTAAACTCCAGTCTGTTATCCTGCTTCTGAGAGCATTTGATGTTTCAAGTTTATAGAGTCTGCTTTATTACTTTGACTCAGGATTTTTAAAAGAACCGTCAGTGAATCCTGAGCTGCTTGAACTTCACAACAGTTCAAGCAGGAAATTTTTAGAGAAATTAAGCCCTTCAATAGCTTTAAGTTTTCTGGCACAGAAAGAAGTTTTTTAAGATTCTATCAGATGCTACAGAATGTCATAGCATTTTACTGTGCTCTGGATAAAACTTACCAAAAACTTGTTGAGTTGCCTCTGGATCGTGGGCGCCCCAACATAAGCTTGTTCCATGTTTATTCCCTTCGTCCTCTTACCGTGTCATTTTCAGAAACCCTTGTGTGATGCAATTGCAGAAATATAAGCCCCGGCTGCACAAGCACTCTTCACTGTTTTACAAACCTCAGGAAGTCTTCCATAAAGCTTCACAGCTTCTCCCTCCCCAGGGAAAGCATCCTGGTGCTTTAATGCTTTAATGTCTCAGGGACACCTCAGAGCTTCAGGGCGCTCCTGGTGTGTGTGTGACAGACCGTGTCTCCTCAGAGTGTAGATTGATTCAGGGAGCTCTGCTCAGAGACCAGTGTCAGGTAAGTGTTCAGTAAATGGCTGTTCCAAATGTGTCTTCAATAAATTTCTGTTGTATCTGCAAGTGCAGTAAATGGCTTGTAAGCCCAGTGCAAGTGGTGTTGGCCTTCCAGCAAACACCTGGAACAACTCTGAAGCACGGTTTAAGATACACAAGAGTTCAGTTGCAAATGTGGTCACTACCAGTAAAATGCGTTATGTGTAAGTGGATCTCACAAGCTCTTGTACCACAAAGTGAGTATTTAACAAAGGAGCAAGTCAAAGAACTGCTGCTCTCTGTCCAAGCCACACAAAGTGTTCTGTCCAAGCCAAACATCGCTGAGGAAAGAGGGGACCTTTGACAGGGGGAGATTGTTTTATTTTTAAGTAAGCTATTTTTGCACTGCTTACTGGTATGAACTAGAATGAACTCGGTTCCTATGTTTCTTAACTTCTAGTGAACACTGTGATAAAAGCTGCAAGGGGTTTTACACGAACAGTGCCTTCCAGTTTTTAAATTTTGTTTGTCATTACTGTCTGTGGTATGGAGTCATTCCAAAGCTTTTTCCCTTATCTGTTTGCATACATAAGGAAAAAAAGAAAAGGCATATTTCCTCAAGTTTACAAGTATTTTCTCAAAAAGCACACTTTTTTCCAAAGTAACATAAATTTGCTGGAAGAAAAATCTATTTTAGCCTGATCATATGGCTTCCTGGGAGAATTTCAGTGTGGGTTCACTTGTTTTCTCTCCACTCGGAGCTTTGCGGGAGGAGTGTTGGCTGCCACTGTTTGTGCTGAAGGATTTCTTTAACATCAGAAATCAGTAAAGGCTCAAGGAGTGGAGAAATACAGAAATAACACATGAAAAATAGTCTCTGTAGTTCTATAGGAAGGACACACTTGGGTTGTTTTCTACAGATACAGAGAACTGTTGGACATGTATCTTGACTGTTGTGGAGTGAGGATGGCCAGGAAGTGCCAAGAACTTCTGTAGGATGAGGCTTTAAGTACATCTTAGATGAGAATAGCACAACTGTTAATAAACACTTTGAAACCTCTTTCTGCATTTTGCGTATTCCTGTTACTCCTCAGAACGATTTTGGGGGTCACCCGCTAAGCCGGGGGCACTTCTGGGGTGCGAGTGAGTGGTGGTGACTCATTCCCTGCTCACAGCAGGGCTCCCCTCAGGCTTGTCCCATGAGGACTCCCTCCGAAAGGGGTGTGACTTGGAAAGGAAGCTGTGCTGCTGTGGTTCCTCTCCTGCTCTGTGTTGCAGTGGGTTCATCGTGTGGAAGCAAAGCTTCCCCCTCGTCCAGTTCATCTGCTTTTGGTTTCACAAAACACTGGCATGTCAGTGTGGGCAGAGAGGGAGGACAATTTGTTATCCTCCTATTCTGCCACAATCCATTTTCAAATTCTTATCTGTAGAGTTTTTTAGTAAATGGACACAGGGATTAGCTGAAGGCCACCTTCTTTGAGTAGTCAAAGTCATGGTTCTTTAGTCACAAACAGAAATTTCATGTCCTACCCCTGTGTGTGTGTGTGCTGCCTGTCCATAACATTTCATTTCAGTCACCTTTTGCTTAATTTTTTTTTTCTTTTCAGTTGAGTGGTTTTCATCCATTTTGTTTTTGTCTTTGTTTTGTTCCCCATTCAGGAGCAATTATGTTTGCCTCTGCATATTTTAGAAGAGAAGGGTTTGACACAGGTAGCTGTGACTGTCCAGGCGCTCCTGGAGCTGGCACCCCCAAAGCAGCAGCCACTTCACCACTTGTCTGCTGTGTAAAGACCTCCGGGACCTTTGGGGTTACCTTGGCTAAGCAGAAGGACCTGAAGACTTTACTGCCCATGCAGTGCATCCAAACACACAGAGCTCTGTTCTAAGGAAATGAGTTTCCGTGATTCCTGACAGGAATGTTTTACTTCATTTCTCCATTTTTTTTGGAGATCACAACAGTTTCCAGTAACATTTTTTACTATCAATTTTTTCGCCCCTTATTTAAAAAAATGAGGGTTGGGAGGAGGGCAAGGAATTCCAGTGGCTGGCTGTTGGAGCCAGCTGTAGAAACTGACCTTGCAGGTGGAAGACATGGATGTAGACTTTGGAAAGCAATTCCTAGGGGAATTTGTAAAAAAAAGGATGTTGCTGCAGTGGGCACATGGGGAATTAAATTTCTTTCCTTACCCACAGGGTGCAAAGAAATAAGAGTTTCTTTGCCTCCAAAGAACAACAGCTATTTCTATTATAATATTTAAAAAGCTACATCACACAATCTTAACCTGCAGTGTTTGGTAACAGGGTCAAACCTCCCACAGCTGTAACTCGTGTTGGCACGTCCTCATTACTAAAAGTTGAAGAAAAGGAAAATTAGGGTTTTCCCAAGGGAAAAATGACTGCATGTTTTCTCCACCAAAAACACCTTAGTCAAAGCTACTAAATCAGACCTGTTCTAATGGTATTTAATCCCATCAGAATTCCCGCTGGGTTCACTTTCTGTTGGGGATTTAACAATGTCTTTATCGGAACACTTTTCCGACGTCAGTGGATGGAGATCTCCCCTGTCTCACCGGAATCACGTGTGTATTTCTCTGCAGTGTGAACAATTCCAGCCTGCCTTGCTGATCTTTAGGGGCCCTTTATCATGAACCACCGTTCATGAGGGGCTGTAGCATCCCCTGCAGGCACAGAATGTATCGGGGTAAGAGCCCAGTGAGTTCCCGGGTGGGCTGGGTGTTGTCAGAGCAGGGCCTGTGCAAACACAGCTTCTCTTCGGGGGTTTGACAAGGCTTTCGATAAAGCCCTTTGTCATTGGAGGTTATGTAGAGAGATGTGGTGCTTTTACAGAACTGCCATTACTTACTTCCTCTTTCCTTAACATAAAAATGGAAATTCAGCGTACAACGTACAGGAAGGGGAGAGGCAGCCCACAAGTTTTGCATTTTCTTGGAAAACTGATGTGCAAAACAAGGACAGCTCTGTGTGCTCTGGTCCTAGTGACAAGGCCAAGCTCACTACTAGATCAATAATGGTAATTTTTCCCCCCCCAAAAAAAGACCTCACAAAATCCAGCTCTCCCCCCATGCAGTTCCTTTGTCAGGTTTTGCCCCATTTCAAGCATCCCAGAATGTTATGCCACTAATACATGGTGCATCAGTGGTATTCCATTTGGGGATGCATTTGAAGCAGGATACACTAAGAGGATTTTATGCAGATAAAGGAAGAAGAAATGGGAACAGGTCAGCTAGAAGTCATTTTTGCAGAAGTAAACCTGTGGTGGAGGCTGCCAAGGACTCAGCTGCATTTTTTCCCTTTTGATTTGCAGTTTTGGGTCCACTTTGTTTTGCTTCATGTATTTCTTTCAAGGTCCATTGTGTGGTGACTGTTGAATCCCTTATTTCACTTAATTATTTCGGTTGCTTCCTATTGGCATTGGTTGGTCACGTTGCAAGTGGAGAAAACACCTGGAGGGTGTTTAAAACTGCCCGGCTGCAAAGAGAAACCTCCTCGTGCTCTTCCTGAGCCCTGCAAGGAATGAAAGTGCCAGTAACTCACAGTACCCACAGGAAAAGCAGCACTAGACAGGCATTCTTTCCCCCTTAAGTAGTTCTTGTGTTTCACTTAATTTCATTTGTGAGGAGAATCTCATTCTCACAGGGATAATGGAGGTGTCTGAAGGCTCTGCACTTTGCTGAGGGGAAGGTTCTGCCACTCACAGGCAACAGCATAGACACAGACACGGGTGTTCCTGGTGTGTTTGTCTCTGCACAGCATTTGAGATGGGGGGCACTGACTTCGTCTTGGTTTCCAACATTAGGTCACCTGTATTGTTACAGGGACATGTTGCATTTAGCAGCACACCCCTCATGGGTTATTTAAATATCCCTGTTGGAAGAAAACCAGTCCCTTCATGGAATTGTGAGGGTGTGGTGATTGCTCCAGTCCAGCTTCCAGCACTTCATAGAATGAAACTTAATACTATTCAGGTTGGTGGAAGTTTGACATTTCATTAATACTAGTTTTTAGGAATTAGTGGGGCGGGGGCTTGAGTCTGGCCAGCAGGAAAGGGCTGTTTGCTGTTGCCTGTGGATCTCAGCCGTGGCTCTGTGCGAGCCCGTGGAAGGGCTGTGTGTGCCGGGCAGGTGGGGGGTCCCCAGCACTGGGTACTTTGTTCTAAGCAATGTTCTCTCTGGCAGTTTCAGTGTAAGGGATCGTGTTAGTTTGATGTTTGTAATCCTGTGTTTTCATGCTGGCAAGCACTAAATCTGGTCCAGGTGTTTAGGACAAAAATCCAAACCTGACGTTTCATCGTACGGTCTATTTAACGTGTTACACCAAACTGACTTCAGTTCTCTCTTGCAAAATGGGTTGGGATTTTCCAGTGTATTTATGTGCAATTTTTGTTGTATCCCATGAAAAGAATATTGAAAGAAAACATGTATAAAAGTTCTTTGTTAAAGAGGTGATTGTCTTTCCTCTCTGGGGTGTTTGTGTGTGAGGATGTGGGAGGGACCCACCTGAGTGTTCTGTGCTGCTGATGTTCCTGCACTGACTCCGTGGGGTCACCATCCATCCTCAAACCTGGGGAGCCCTTGGCAGCATCTGAGGCTCAGTGAGGTCACACACTCCAGATGGAGCATTCCGGGCACTCAGGAGCCCTCCTGGCACTGGGGGGTCGGGGCAGAGCAGAGTTTGGCTCTTCCCCCTTTGAAGGAGGCCCCACCCCCAGTGTCCTGCTCAAAATCCATCAGAGACAACTCTTTACAGCACCAGAGCACCTCTGGCGTAGCGCCTCTGGTAGCAGCAGGATGGCAAATGGTGTTTTTACCCTTTTATGACTATAAATGGTTCTTTGAAAAACTGTTTCAGAAACAGAGGACTTGAAAGGTGAATTTGGACATCTAAAAAATGCTTTTGTATAGATACTGTGATGTTTTACAAAGTGATCTAATTTTGTTATTTCTGAAAACAGTGTAAACGTGTAATTAATAGAGTAAAGGATTTTAAAGCTTCATCCTGTGCTGTATGTCTGTAAATACATTCCATAATTTCTGTTACATATAAATGTGTCTGAATATTGTATATTTTAAATTGCCTGTATTCTGCCAGTAGTGTGAACTTCTAGCACATTGATAATATAAAAGAAAACCATGGGTATTTGAAATAAAGTTTTAAAACTTACATGAATTACAGTATTTCTTCCTGGAGTTTTTTTGTTGAATCGATGAATGTTGCATCCTCTGTGTCGGGTGTGTATTCCCCTTCCACATCATCCTGTGATGGCATTTGAGGGACCTGCTTTGATTCTCTACTTTTCATAGGTCCTTGTGGGTCCCTTCCAACTCGGACTATTCTGGGACAGTTAACCAGGATGGAAAAATTCCAGCATTTTTACACGTATTCTACAGCCACATCAGAAGATTTTTCTTGGGGGTTTTTGTTTCCAGAGTTCTGCTTCATTCTCTGCTGAGAATTGAGCGCAACCCAGCTGAGGCCTCGCATCAGATTTCAGGTGTTTGGCTGCATAACTAAAGTATGCCTGGAGTTTGATATAAACAGCAGAGATCTGCTGCCCACCCCTTTCCCCCGTCCTATCCTGCTTTTTCCTTAGCTCAAACCCTCTGGAGAGTTTGTGATCAACTTCATTACTTCTGCCCAAGCAGGTCACCTGTTAACATGCAGCACATATGGAAAGCAGTAGTCCGTGGTGAAATGTACTGAGTCAGCAGGGCGTGAAAAGGAAGAGTTAAAATTAGGAACAACTCCCAGGGCTGCACTGAGGCGCTTCCTGCAGTGGGGTGTAAGCACAGTCCTGGCTCGACACTGCACTGGAGTTACCCTTGTTCTTAGCACTATGTGGGGACCGTGGGGAGCAAGTGCAGTTGTTCACAGCTTTAGTACCAGTGCTGGAATGGGAACATGTTCAGGTGTCAAGCAAGTGGCCGTGCTCCAGCGGGAACACCGGAACCCCTAATGCAGGTTTGTCTGGAGCATCTGAAACTGCAGCGCTCCTGGACAGTAAACTCTGCCTGACAGTTGGGCACCAGCCCCTTTTTCCTGTTCAGAGTTCTGAGCCAGAGGCTCTCTGCTCATCTGACTCTCAGTTAAGCTCAGACATGAGGATGTTTGGATGGGGCCAGCACAGGCTGGTCACAAAGAGCAGAGCAGACTGAATGGTTTGGGTCCGTCTCCTGCATTGGGAGAGTCAGAAACCAGCCAGTTCAGCTGCAGGGCTTTTTGCTCAGACCTGCACGTGACTGGCTGACAGTGGTGTCAGGAGAAGGGGTTCCCCTCTTGGCCTCTCAGTTACAAAGCAGTTCTGCTCCCCAGGTGATCTGCTCCCTGCCTACAGCCCCCTCTCGCTGAGCAGGGATGGTGGCTGGGGCAGTGGGGAAGGTGTGACAGACCAGCTCCCATAGGCAGCAGGTCCAGCTGTCTTTTCCCATTGTTGCTCCCCTTGGTCAGAAGGAGCTGTTCTGTCTGTGCTGACACTGACATTGTGCAGGGCTGTGGGAGTGGAAACCTGTGTGCTGTGACTGCACTTGTGTTCACACTGCAAACTGCCCATGTTCTCCCCGGCCGACCTGGAGAGCAAGGAGAGCACGGCAGGGAGAGCACGGCTGGAGCCCAGACGTGGGTGCCTCGACCTCCCTGCCTGACCCACGGCAAGCACCAGCACTCCAGCCATGGCCAGTGCTTTGAGGGCTCAGAGGAGGTTCTGGGTGCAGAGCATCCCATGCCAGCGAGCTACTGGGCTGGTAACAGAATTACCTCCCACTATCGTTTTGTTCCCCTGAAGCTCTTGGAGGGGATATAATATTTCTCACTGCTTTGATGCAAATCCCCTTTGTGCTGGAGAAACTGTCTTTCTGCTGTACAAGGGCAGGTTCAAGATCTTTATGTAGCTGCACCTTAACTGTGTCTGTCATGAACTGTGTTCTCCAGAATTGCCTGAGCTCTGTTACATGGTTTATCTTGTCCTGTCGGACAGACACAGTGCTCTGCCCAGCAGAGCCACAGACCTGGAGCACATCTGTGGGCACTTTCTTTATTTTCTTTACTTTTTCTTCCCTGATTTTTCCTTCTCTGTGTCTGTCTGCACTGCTGGCTGTTCCTTCAGAAGCTTCTCGAGGGCCTGGTAGGGGCCAAGGAATCTGCGGACCATCGTGCCTTTCCACCAGGCCTGCAGCTGGAAGTGAGAGAGAAAGAGGCCTCAGGGGAAATTTCTTGCTGGGGTACCTGGTACAGCTCAATGCCAGGGAGTCTGTCCTGTGCTCCCCAGACACAGGAGGGAACCCCCAGCCCACACAGCAGCCGTCGGGCCTTGCTGGTGGCACTGGAGGCACCTGCAGCTGGGACAGGCCATCTGTGGCTGGTGGCAAGGGACAAGCAGGGGCACTGCCCCGTGGCCCTCCCTGTGTCACCCATACAGTGGGGCTGATGCAGTGGGTGCAGCCCCAGATCATTCCAGGACACTGGCTTCTGCCCTTTGGCTCCCATCTCAAACCTGCAGCCAGCTGCTGGTTCTGAGTCAGAAAGGGACAGGCTCTGTCCTTTGCTTCTGCCACCCCACACCAGCCAACTTTATTGGGCATTTTCTGCCTGGACAAAGCCTGTGGCACAGGTTATTAACTCCCAGGTGCTGCTGGAGCAGCACCACCTCAGCTTTGCTCCCCTTTACCTTCAGGGCGCTCTTCAGCTCCAGGGCCTCCTGCTCTCGTTGTTCTCTTCTAGTCTTCTTTTCTGTCCGGTCAGTGATGATGGTTTCCTCGAACATCAGGCACTGCAAGAATGCACAGGGGTGGCAAAAGCCACATGACAAACAGATCCCCTAAACTGCAGGGCCAGCCTTTGAGGCTCACTGTGCCCAGCCACTTGCCAGGGCAGGGCTCACCTGGATCCTGGTGCAAGGATTCTTCTCCTCTGGCTGCCTACATGTCTTGTCCTTGCCACTCACTTCCCACAGCCCTGCCAGAACTGCTCAGGCCTGTGGGTCAGGGTGTGGATCCCCACCCTGTGCACCAGGGAGTTCCAGGGCAGCACAGGGGTGATGTGTGGGTGTGGACCTTCCTCCCCCACCTCCTTTGTTTGATCTTTCCTGAATCCAGATGGCAAATGTTGCTCATTACCACTGTCAGTCCTCAGGCACTTGGAGCTGCTGCCAAAGTTGAACCTCTCAAGGGCTGGGTGTAATTAACCCCTGATCCCGTGCTCTAAAATGGCTGTCTGATGGCGTCCCAGGCAACAGCTGGTGGTGGGGAGGACGTGTGGTCCCTCAGGCTAAGCAGCAGAGGATGTACAAACACACTTGGGACTCTGAGATGACAGTGCACAGAGTGAAAAATGAGCCCACAAGCAAGAAAACATCAACCCCAGTCCCATCATCTCAGACCCACTGACGGTAAGGAATGATTACAAGTTAATTCCTTCTGGCTTTAAAACACACATTTTTCTAGACACTTCTCCCTGCCCTGTGCTGCTGTTCCACTGTGATCAGAGCCCAGCAGTTAAACAAGAACCCAGTGTGAGGCAGGAATGGTTCTAACTGGAATCAGCTCCCTGATAACAGCAGTGTACATCTGGGAATGTGTGTCTGCAGGAAGGGATGAGCTGCCTTTTCCAGTCCCAGCCTGTCTTACCCTGATGTTGCTCGAAGGAGCTGGAAGATGCAGATTTGTTCAGACTAAGGCAGCAAACCAAGGTGAGGTGTACTGATGGGATGGGACAGTGTCTTTGCCCCTCACAAATGCTGTCAGTAGCTCTCTCAGTACTTGCCATTATGTGAAATAGCTGTAGGGGAAATATCATCATCCCTCCTTGATGTCACAGGTGGCAAATGGAAGATGACATCTCAGTCGCTGCCTTCCCAGGACCAGTGTTTATAATTGCACCCTGTGCCTCAAAGTTACTGGTTTATTTTTTTCCCATGGTCCTGATTCCTTATCTGAATGAGGGTAGGAAAAAGCCCAGTGCAGTTTTGCATGGCTGAGCACTGAGATGCCGTTGATGTCTTACCTCCTTGGCAAATTTCTGCATTGTTTCCAAGTTCTCTGCCTTCAATGCTCTTAGGTCATCCAGTTCTACTTCTTTCGCATTGGTGTCATTTTCATACTTCTCCATCCAGTATTCCAGCTTCTCTTCCACCTTCTGCATGGGGAGAAAGTGGTGCTCAGCATGGTGCAGAGTGCACAGGTGAGAGGTTTGCTACTATTACATGGCCTGCTCTCAGGAAGGTGATGAGAGTCCTGTAAATGGCGCATGGACAGTGTTTCTTTCTCATCTTGGAAGGATCAAGCCCCTAGGATAAAATTACTGGATACAGGATAAATTGCTGCTGGCAGGGGATGAGGAGACTGGGTCAAGGCTTTCAGGGGTGCATGAGGGACGGAGGAGAACTGGGGGTTAGTTTTGTGTACAGTCCATCCTGGTGAAGCAAGAGACAACCAGAAGCCATTCTTTGTGTGTACACAGAGGGAGGGGGAGGGTTAAAAAACAATTTGTCAGTGGGAAATTGTTTCTTTTGCCTGACTCCCTATCTGTTTTCAGGATTAAGCACCAGGAATAAGGTCCCAGGGGACAGCACTTCACGCCGCCGTTTCAGGTTGTGAACTTGGCTTTGTCTCACTCGTGAATAGGGCAGGTGTTTCTGAAACAGTCACACAGATGACTTCCTGCCATTCACCAGTGACTTCTCCATAGCAACAACCGTGATTGCTTCCATGGCAAAATAATCTGAGGAAAAGCATCAATCTCATTACGGCATCACAGATGGACACACGAGGGAGATGAAGGGCATGGTCACCCTCCTCTCTGCGGGCCCCTGCAAAGCCACCAGCTGCTGTGTGAGCGCTGGGGGCCGTGCTCTGCTGTGAGCTGCCGGTCAGACAGGCTGCAGCCGGGACTTGGGCAGTGCCCTCGCTGTGAGCGTTGATCAGAGCAAGGCTCTGGGGTACAGAGCAGTGTTTAATTGCTCACAAGATACAGCACTGGTTTGCACTCAAATTACATTTTAAAAAATGTATTATCTCCTATTAAATTTTGTACTGGCAGTGATGTCAGGTACCCTGCAGTAGTACAGCTTTTCTTCCAGTCATATCATTTATGAGAGGCTTTGCAATGTTAACACCACGGGGACATTCATGGTTGGTTACTGCTGAGAATGTGCACAGTAGCTGTGGGTTAGCAATTCTCCAACCCTGACTCTTCCCTAGATAAAGATAAGGTAAAACTGGTCTGGCCGTCTGTGTCCTTCTCTCCTCAGTGTCCCCTCTGTGCAGCCCTTGGGCAGTAGTGCTCTTCCCCGAGATGCTGGGAGCCTCAGGTACTGCCAAGGAAGGTCTAAATAACATTCCAATTAGCCAAATACGACTATCTGAGGGAGGAAAAATCTGCAACACCTGAATGAACAAGGCCGATTATTACATGAACCCTAATTTTAAGGAAATGTATCTATTTGTAGCAAATCTCACTTCTGGGAGAGCTGGGTTAATTAAGACATGAGGATAAGTAATCATTCTAACTGCAGCAGCCGTGAACCTGGTACATTTGTGGAGCAATAACTGTTTTCCTTTAGGCATTAATTGACGATAAAATGTTTATAGGTTGGTATTTTAAGCATTAGCTGACAGTCACACATACCTGATACTGTTGCCTGAGGAAATTTTCAGTCTCCATGTGGAGTTGAATCTCCTCATCAGTTCTGTTCTTCAAGTTCTGTGATCAGTGCAGACAGAAAATGTGAGGGACAAAGTTAGTGTGTAACACACTGCTGCTGAAAGCCAAGGGAGCTCTGTGTAGTCCACAGACATTTTTTCCAGTGACAAAATTAACTGAGGCAGTCCTTGCCCCTGGGCCATCCATGAAATAGGGACAATTAGATCAGACCTTGATCAGTCAAAAAAAGATGCTTGCAAAACCAAAACAGTTTTCTAGTCCAGTTCACCTTGTGTCCACATGAGCAGCTCTATCAGCACAGTCTGATGAGGGTAATGCTGGGAGCTCTGGCTGCCTGTGTTGCTAAATACCCTTGTAACTACCCCCTTGGACATACTTATGGGTCTGGTTTTCTGACAGTGGCATTACTTTAAGCATGCAGTGTCTCCTGCAGCCACGACATTCTGTTGCTGTTTGCAGGACCATACAGAGAAGCAATGGAAAAGATAAAGGTTTCTAATCCCAATGAGTTTCCTGATCCAGTTCAAACAGTTGTGCTGGTGACTATAAGGGAGAACAGGAAGGGCATCTGGGGAGCCAAGGGAGGGCTCTCCCCTCTGCTGGCTGGAGATGCCTTCAGTATGGACCATGGGGAAGGGCTTACCTGGATTTCCTTGTTCAGGGCGTTCTCTTCCTTGCTGCACTTCTTCTGGGTTTGGTGGATCTGGAGGTCTGTGTCTTTCTTCATGTAGGAACTCTCTGTATCCAGTTTGGCCGTCTTCTCTTGGAGTTTCTCTTTGAGGTGATCAATGATCTTATCTCGGTTCTGGTGGAGACAGAAGCAGCACAAAAGCAAGCCTGGAGACTGAGGTCAGCTCCTTGTCTTTTAATCTCTCCATTCCCTGATAAACTCAGAAGAGACAAGGCTACAGGCTTCACACTTTCCCTGAATGTTGTGCCATTTCAACCTCTGCTTCAGAGGTTAGTTTGATTTGTAGCCCATATAGACAGCAATAAACCCATCAACAAGTAGTGATTACCTCTGGAGACGGTGGAGGGATGAACAGAGTGGAACAAGAGGCCAGGCCTTCTGGTCTCTGCTGCAGAAATGGATTCAGACATGCTTAATATAAACATGAAAGAAACCACATAATTTTAGCCACTTAAAGCTAGGCTTTACTTTTACTAACCTCTTGGATTAGACCATCTCAGTGAGAGAGCATCTGTAAGAGGATAATGGCTCAGCCCCACATAAGCCAAAGTTTGTCATCCTAAAGTATATTCTATTCCTTGGATTCATTTTTTTCTAGTTATGCAGCATCAGTATAAACTCAAACTTAGGAACAGGTGCAAATCTTATCCTATCTTGCTTATATGTTTAAAGTTATTTCTTGAAGTCTTACCAGGTAGGTGGTGCCCACTTTGTTATAAAAACATACACCCGAGGCAAGGAAGAAGTATCAAGGAAAAACTGGTTATGAGCTCCCAGCCTCTCCCCATGCCTTGTTTTGTGATGGAGCTGAGCTTTCCCTTTCTACTCTCCAGAGCTTCCCCACAGACAAGAATCCTGAGTGGTTTGTCCAGCATTTGGAGCGTGCTCAGGAAGCAAAGCACATTTGCTTGATTTGGGATTGCTGTTTTGTTTACTCCTTTTTAATTAGGTTCTTTCAGTAACAGATAAAAGTTCATAATTCCGGGACTGGAACTTGGAAGAACTGCCTGTAAAATGAAAAACTCTAGATTTTTGTATCAAGAGTTAAGAGGGTCATCAAAGCCTCCTGTGCAATTGTGCAGGATCAACGTGAGCACCTCCAGTTTGGCACCCAATTGCTCTGTCACAGCCTTTCTCTTTGCTTTCCTGCCATGCTGTGGTGGGTTTGGTATTCATCAGCCAAACCTCACAGCTGAAGATGAAGATGAAATACTAAAGTGCTGGCATTTAAACCTTTTGAAGCTCCACATATCTTGTCTCTGAAGTACCTCGAATTCCTTAGCTGTGTAAACATGGAAAAATGCCACAGGAAGAAGCCAGCTCAACAGTGCTGTGTTTGAAAGCCTCAGCAGCATGACTCATTTGGAAAAGGTTTCCTTATAAGAAGAGTTTGGAGCAACTAAAAGGAAAGTCCTTACTTCTGACATAGTTAGGAAGAGTAAAGTACATTTATGAGGCTCAGGATAATTGGGGCCCTTGGCTGATGGTGTTCTGTGGGTTCAAAGGTCAGGCGTTCTCAAGCTTTTGAAGGTTTCCAACATCAGATACTGTTTTACAGACATATCATCATATGACTGCAGACAGCTACAGACATGAGCTGTTTGTGCCCTATTAAGGCTTCTGGTAATGGCCTTTATTTTCCCTGGCATGGAATTTTGGTGGCTGTTGGGAGGGGTTGTGTTCCCGCTCAGTAGACATGGGAGGTGAGCGCACCAGTCTATTTTGAGATTGTCATCCTGGCTCATGGTGTAATCGTGTCTAAACTGAGGGGCTGGCAGAGAGAATGGGGAGATGCTAATGGAACAAAAACAATGTTTTGTGGTGCTGAGCCTCTGGGAAGTCAAGTGTTGCTGATGTCAGTGCGTTACTCCTATCTGCCAAAGATCTGCAAACAGACCAGAAGAGAAGGGTTCAGCCTAGGTTACAAAGTACTCAGAGAATTGAGAAGAGCATGAACATTTCACCAGGTTATTTTCTTTTTCATTTCATATTTGAGCAATGCAAAAAGTGATTTTGATTCCAGCGCCCCAGGCCTCAGCCGGGATGGGGGCCCATCTGCTCTGTTTGTTTTCACTGTTGTATGGCATGTTTGTGGTTTGGATTTGGTCTGCGATGTTGTAAAACATCCTGGTTAGAGGTGGGGAGTCTGGGGGCTCGGTTACACAACCCACAGCAGACGGGAAGTGAAATGCAAAACCCCTCTGGAAGTGAAATGCAAAACCCCTCTGGTGGTTTACAGCAATGTCCCCCTGGAGAGGGAAAGTCGTCTGCAGGGATGAGGGCAGCTCCTGCTGCTGGACCTGGTGCTGCAGATCTGGGGCATGTTCAGTGTTCAGCTGCAGGGAGTAAATGCAGCAGTAAATGCCCACAAGCTGTGGGCACCATCTGCAGAGTGTGCTGTTCCCTGAACTTCAGGGACAGGCACTGGGAAAATGAGTTAATATTTACTCGTTCTGGTTTATCGTAGCAAAGGTCCCCGCCAGGACATGGAACGCTTTCATAGCTGATGCAGTAAATCTCTGGGCTGCTTATTTGGGATGACTTCAGTGTTGAATCTGCCAAACCAAAGATGCAAAATCATTCCTCGTGTCCAAAACTATCAGAAAACTGTCAGAGACCAAGATCAAAACCCAGGAAATAGTTGTCAGGAGCCAGTCTGCTTCACAAGCAGGTAAACAAGCTGATTTTCTCTGATCTTTCAGCTCAGAGACATCAGCTCAGAGGCCTGTCTGCTGTCACCCGGTGCCACAGAAGTCTGCCCCACAGATGCTGCTTGGCCACAAAAACAACTGCACTTAGCTGGAGACGTTATCTGAGCTCCTGTGTTTTCATTTACTTTGATTTATCTGTCTTGTAAGTGCCACCAAGATCTCCCGGCTCTTCCACAGCAATTAGTGTTTACAGTCATTTGAAATACAGCTGATTACAAAAGTAGCCAACAGGAGTAAACAGTCTGAGGAATTCCCCAGCAGGCAGATGAGCCTCCTGCCGCCAGCAGCACTCCCCCTGCTGCCGTTTGGCAGGGGAAGGGGTGCTGTGCTCCTGCCGGCAGCCCCGCTGGGGAGCCCTGCTGCCTCTGCTCCCACACGCAGTGCCTCGGAGCCCAAGCCTCTCACTGGCAGCTGCAGCATCTCAGCTTGCAGAGCCTGGAGATACGCTTAGATCTGCACACCTGCTGCAGCCTGGACCTGCTCCCCCTGAAACCACGTGTGGCCCTATAGACACTTCAATAAGGCCACAGCCTGCATCTCTGTCCCAGATCCAGAACATCCCCGTGCTGCACACCCCAAGGAATGTCAGGGCCCAAAGGACAGAGGGGCTGGCAGGTCACCCAGCTTCAACAGAACAGCTTCTGCAGCCCTCTGCCAGCTCACCTTCGGTACCAGCAACTGTGGGAGAGAGCTGGTGAGGGGCAGCTGCAGAGGGAGCAGGACCTCTTGGCAGCAGCACTCCTGTGGAAAGTCCTGCCCCTCTGGAGCCAGGTTTGGATCTGGTGCACCAGCTCTGGGTTCCGCTGCTCTCCTTAGGGCTCTGCCAGCAGTGGAATGAAGTCATGCAGAAGCTCAGGACCATCACAAACCTTGTGCCTTCTACTGGAATCACCTGGTGCATTTCTCCAGTAGAAACATGCACCAGTGGGTGTGTATATATGTTTAATACATTCCCTAGAAAACTCCATTGATGCATTTCCTGGGAGAGGAAACATGATGGGTTTTAGTTGTACTGCTAAAAGCATGGCCGAGTGGGGCACTGATACAGTGGAGCTGGATGTGTTACGACAGCCCACATGGAATTGAAGTCATGGACCTGTTTTCACTGGTGCCGTGGTGCAATGGCTTGCGTTCCTGTCTGGTTTGTAGCTGCAGTATTACTGCCTGTTATAAAATTACACTGCTACTTGCACACATGTATGGCACGAGTGTACACAAAACCTGCAGCACATAAAAAGTCTTTGGGTGAAGAGCAGTGCAGGAATGCTGAAGTTTACATTCCTAAATTTTTATGTTAAGGTGTATAATTCCATATATTATTTTGTTTCAAAACCTGTACAGACTGCCATCACTTGTCCAGGAAACCCAAGAAAGTGAGTATTTTTATACAAAGTAGAAAATGAACACTGCAGCAGCAAACAGAACCCTGCAGCCAAACCTGAGCTACCGGTGCCGCTCCTGCATGGAGGGGTAAGAGCAAAACCAGACAGATCATTTCAGCTCCTTTACAGACGTCAGTGCTTTCCAAGGGGAAAGAAAACAAAACAAAAACCTTTAGCATTTGATTTGTGTTCCATTAGAAAGAAAAATGAGCTGAGCAGGGTAATAAAGTATTAATTAGCATCTCATTAAGAGGTAGCAAGGATGAAAATACATATGCACAGGAAACATGAGTGAAGCAAAGGCCGTGTTTTTCTGGTTCCAAGATTAGATTTGCTGGCTTTTGTTTTCTCATCCACTAGGCTGGAAACAACCATGTAGGCTTTTGTCTACAGGTCTGTGCATTATTATTGTTGTTCAAAGTACTCCAAAATCAGCAAGCTGTATTTTTGTTTTTAATTAGTTGGCAAGGTGACAAATCATGCAAGTGTCTGTAAAACTGCCTACAGGAAAATCCCATATGAAGCAAACAGAAATTACTCTCCCTTGGGAGACACAGTGAGACACCATTATTTTTGGCACAGGAGGAAAGCAGTACTTGAAAGTAGTCTTGTCTTTGATTTGTTATCAAAGCTGAAACTATAAGGAAGCCCAGAAAAGGACTTTTAAGCTTAAAATATTAAACACCAGATGAGTGCAGATCCCACTTTTGATGAGGTAAAACCCAAGAACTGATTAGCACTGAAAGAACAAGGAGAAGAGCCTCCCCTGGGCACGGAAACTGCGCACGTTCTTATGACTGCAAGAGGTAGGAGGGGTGCAGGTCAGGACACAGAGAAGTGCCCCCGGTATGCACAGTGGCAGGACATTGCTGCTGGTGCAAGATGGGATGGTTACAGCCCCCCATATACCAGACCTTGGGAAGGCATTAAACCAGGACTGGGTACATTTATTGTATGCACAGATGTGGTGAGGTTTGGGGAGCACTACACAGAAGGAGAACTCCCTCATCACAGTCACTAGCTTGGGGAGTGGAACAGAAACTTCTCAGGAGCCATCAGAGTCTGACTAAGAAGGGACAATGTGCAGAAGCAAAAAAGATCCTTGATGTTTTTACAATCATCCTGTATTTACAATTAAACTTTCGATTGCACGTGCATCCAGGCCACCAACACAAAACCTTCATGTTCTACAAACCAAACTTCACCAGCATGTCAGTGGCTTAAAATTCCTCTGTGTAGTCAACTATATCCTGGCTTGATTACTGTCTACACTTTTGTCCAAAGACAAAATTCAGTGACACCAATTTTTACCTCAGATGCCCTTGCTGTCCTCTTGCTCGCTACTGAACAAAGTGTCAGATTCTTGTTCCTTCCTCCAGCCCCTGTACAGCCCTGCCTTTTGCTCCTTTGACGTCACTCACCATCTCCTGCCCCAGCAGGGCCAGGCTATGCTTCCATGTTGCAGGAGCATCAAGTCTGAGCTGTCTGGTGAGCATCACAGTGACCAGTGATAAGCCATTGAATTGATCTGCACTTGTGTAGCAAGTCTGACCTTTCCAGAACGCCCCAGATTTCCCCCAGTGCACACACTGTTTGCGTGATGCAGACAGAAGGGCTGAAGCTTTCCAGAAAGATCAAGTTGACAGCATATGTGCAGTAACATTGATTTGCCCTTGTGTAGGCATGTTTGGGATTTTCTAATGTCTGGAAGCCTAATAAAATAGATACTATAAAGGCATTTTCCCCAGATAAAAATGTAGGTAGAGAAATGACCTGCCCCTATACAAGGTGTCTTTCTCATTCCTTCTTTGTCACATTTTCTTTTGTGCCAGATCATCTGCATGAGTATGAGAGAACCTTAGATACTGTTTTCTGCAGATAACTTTTTTTCTCACTGATTGCAGATGTCTGTGCTTTGCCATTCCCAGCAGTGTTTTAAGGATATTCTAATTTGATCATGTTCTCTGATGATTATGAGCATTTTGAGCTCCCATTTGAAAACCACTGGACACTGCTCTCAAAGTCATTAGTGGGCTAATTCCCAATGCAGATCTTTATTGCAGTAATTCTACTTCTGTATTCCTAAATGATGGATCATTCTGTATGCCACAGGTCCTCCCTGAGTACCAGATCCTGGGCAGTAGAGTCGAGCCTGCTAACAGCTTCCCCTGGCACAATGCCCAGTGCTAAGTGCTCTCACCTGAAGCTCTTTTGTAGTTTGTCTCCTGACATCTTGCAGCTGTTTCTGGAGTGACTTTATCTCCTTCTTTCCTTCTTCCTCCCTGAAGAAAAATGAGAGAATACAATCATTTAAATATATCAAGAAAGACAAGAGCTGTTTACCTAGAAAGGGAACTTCCTGTCTCCTGATACATTGTGGAAAGATAAACAGAAACTTCTCACCAAAACTACTGCTTTGTTCAGTAAATCCTAAAAGAAGAGGTGCAAAGACTGAGCAAGGCGGAGGGGGAGGAAAAGGAGAATGAACCAAAAAAACAGGGGATGCTCCTGTTAAAAGCCTGGAGTGGACTTGATGATGATACAATTCCTATAGCAGAGAGGGAAGATGCCTGTCATTGAGTCACAGTTTCTACATTTCAGCAGAAAAATCCCTGATTCTGTGCAGAAATGTGTCTGAGCAGCAGAGTGCCAGCTTGTGTGTCATTATATGTATGGAGAACGTTTTCTTCATATTAGACTTAAAATCTTCCAAAAAACACTGTCTCAGGTTCTGAGATCCCTGAAAGGGATCTGAGTGAAGGCCAAAAGCTAGAGAGGACCATCTGTCTAAAACAAAACAGATTCAGTAATGTTTTAGGTATTATTATTTCACTCAGAGTACTTATCCAAGCTTTTATGCTCATGATTTGATTTAAAACCAGTAAATACTACAGTTGGCACCTGAGATTGTGTATCCTATCCCAACCTTACAATCACACATGCATTTAATTTTCAGAGTCCTTAGCTAGTCTGACTGATGAACAAAAGCTCCTGATAAGGGGTCCTAGTGTCACTGAAGATGCCTTTCAGAGTAGTGTATTCACACAAAACCAGGCAAATATTTATTATCCTGAAAGACAGATCAAGTTCATTCCATGAAAAGCATGTATAGAAGAACAGAGTGGCTAGATATGATTGACAGAATGGAATAAAAAGCATTATGTACTTTGTCATTATAATTTGTCTGCTCCTTTCTGCCCTCCAGTTCTGGACAGTTATTCCACAACCAATTGCTACTCTCATTTTTGCTTTTTGTCCCTTCCATGGATAAACAATAAATCCCTTGGTTTTAGACAGTGGAAGAGATGGGTTTCATGCTTGAAATCACACATTCCACTGGAAGCTGGGGATTTGCCCTGGAGGCAAACCCCTGAGCCACCACAGGAGCTGTTCCAGTAGGTTGGACTCATGACAAATCATGACTTAGAGCAGCTTTGCCATGCACCCTAAATGATGGGCCTGAGCTGCTACACAGAGCAAAGTAGCTTTAAAGTGGTCAAATGCTTGTCTGATGACTGTAATTCTCTCTGACAGTCTCAGGCTTGAATCAGAGTTTTGCATGCTAAAGAAACTCTAAGCCTCTAGTGCTCAGAAATTTGAGGTAAGGAATCACCAGTTTGAGCTGAGATGATAACAAACCTGTACCCTGAAAGATTCGGGGCAGAAGAAGATCTGCAGTGCAGTGGCTGGTGGATTAGCCTTAAATAAGACAACTCCTCTGTCACCATCTGTGCTAAACCCTCACTGCTGCTGGGAAAGGGGAGCCAATTAGCATATGGGTCAGAGCAGATTCTCCTGGGCATCAGATAACCTAAAGGCCATATGTTGCTGGCCCTGGTTTGAACAGATTCTCTGCTGCTCTGGCTTTCACTGGGGACAGGAGTTAAAGATCAGGGAGCTCCTACATCACATAATGTTTTAATTGAAATGAGGCAGCATTTGCACTAATGAAGACACTGGTGTCCACTGTGGTCAAAGCTCAGGCAATTCCTAGCTCAGATCAGTTTTTCTGAAGTGGAAAGAATTGCAGTTTGTAAAGCAAGCAGAACAATTCAAGTTGAAAAAGTAGAATCCCTTCTGTATTTTGTTTTTGTTGGGTCTTCTTCCTTTTCAGCATGTACTGAGTGGGAATGGGTTTGGCTTTCAGCAGTTAAGCAGAGAAGAACTGAACACAACACTGACCTGATGAGGATGTCATAAAACTTGCTCTTTTTCTCCTTCTCTCTCTCATTAGCTTCTGTTAGGCTGTCAAATATTCCTGATTCCTGCATCTTTTTCATAGTGACAGTAATTACATCACTTGCATACTGCCTGCCAGGAACAAAAGGATCACAACATTACTTTGCAGGTGTTGGTACTACAGTGTCTGGCACCTTTATCCATTACTGTTTAGAGATAAAGGTAAGGAAATTAAAAATCCCTTTTCTGTTCTTACATTCTATCAAACCCAGGAGTGCTTCTCCCGTGGTATCTACTTCTTGTACATATGAAAAACTCTGTATTAGGAGTTGGTTGAAGTTTGTAATTTAAAAATGCTGGCTGTGCTGCCATTGGGAAGGAGGCTGCTGGCCTGCAGTTGTGGTGACAGATAGGTTGATCCTGGAAAATGAGACCTGGGTGTGCAAATAAGTGTGGCTGGGGGGGGTATCTGGATGCCAAAATATCCCAGTACAGCCCTAGGCTGATCTTAACAAATAACGTGGGCTTGTCCATTTTATTGAATGTCATGGTGCATATGGCACTTATATTTTGGCAGCTCCACAGTCTGTCTTCTAAACCAAAGGCTGCTGGTATTTCTGTAAATCAAGACAACTGGATTAGGTGCAGGAATAAAGTTTGTTTTAAAAAAGAAAGAAAATATTTAGTCTTATCTGTTCTATGAAGGAGAATGGTTTTAACTGCCACAGACACTCTCTGCCCTGCAGAATGAGTGAGTTCAGGAGAAGGCTCATATCCCATTTGTCTTTGGGTTCTGCTAAGGGAACCTGACTCCAGGTACCAGAACATCAGCACTGATTAGTGCCTGGCATGAATTCCACCCAAGCAACCATTATCAAGTGGTTTATTCAAAATAAACTGCTGGTCATTATGGGGCATCCAGAGACAAGCAATGGCCAGAACCAAATGGCCTATGAAGCGAGATCCCACTACTATCCTTAGAGGAACTTCTGGACCAAAACTGAAGTACTCTGACAGTGGGAGAGTTGGGAGCTTGTATTTTTGCTTTCAAGAGATAGACTGAGGACTTTACACCTGAGCACCCTTCATAGGTGCTTCACTCACCTGTCAGCCTCAATTTTTCTGAGCTTCTCTACAGTCAGAGTGCTGTGTTTCCTGCCACTTTTGGAAGGCTGGTGGGTGCTTTTCCCATCTTCAGTTTTCCCCGTCTGCTGCTTGTGTTCGGTGTTTTTCAGGGCCATGGAGGTAACTGTTTCCTCACTCTCTTGCCTTGCTGACATAAGCTCTGGGTCATTAATGTCCAGCTCCTTCTGGGTTTCTATAATTTCTTTCATTTTCTGGATGCCAGTCTAAAAGGGAATAAGAGACCTGCTTGCACACTGAGCAGTGGAAATAAACCCTCTGCAACATTATGAGAGAGGAAGAAAGATGTTACAGTCTGCAAGGAGTGGAAGAGCAGAAACATTTATGTTGCTTAGCTTTGAGCACACAGTGTAGCTTTACTGATGTTTATGGGCTCAAAAGCCCTTAAGTGACAGGACTAGAAGAAGCCTCAAAAGGTGAATTCATCCGCTCCAAGAGATGCTGGTTCAGACTGTGTCATTCCTGACATGTCCTTAATGGCCTCCAGCAATGGAGACTACACACCCTCCTGCCAGTGCCAGCACCTCTCAGCAATCTTTACCATAAGAAAGTCTTTTCTCCTCAGCAGCACTTGAGGCCCTGGCTTGTCATCCTGGTCTCTGTAGCACAGAGAAAAAATCATACCCTTCTTCTTTTGCAGGAGCTTTGGTGCACTGGAAGACTGTTAGCCTGTTTCCCCTCTGCCTTCTCTCCATCTTAGACATTTCCCACTGCCTGTCACCACGACCTTTGCCTACAATATCAGTGTTATAACCAGAGCTATGTGAAAATAAAAGTGACAGACATCAGCTATCTGCTTAGCAGGTTTTTTGAGGGTGTGACAGCAGAGGAAGTATAGCATGAATTCAAAGATGAAATTCAAAATATTGGTAGCTCTTTCTTCATGGAAGGTTATCTTGTAGCCATGTACAATTTTATCAATAAAAGGAAAAGGCCTAAAAAGGCAAAAAAGCCCCAGATTATAAAATCGGCTAAGCTCTTGCTTCCAGGAATTTCTCTGCTTTACGTACTGTGGGTGAGAATGCAGGTGTGTACTCTGGGACATTAAAAGAGAAATTTTTCTTGCCTGCCTACCAGCATCTCTGTGGCTGAACACTTCCTAGCAGCACTGCTGACACCAGCTAACACAGTCACTGCCAACCCCATCCCAGTCCACAGCTGCCTGCTCCCCATTCTGCCTGCATGGGGAAGTGGATAAAGAGCTCACTGTGATGAAACATTTTCCAGCGAAAAGGAGGGGGAAAAAAAGGTTATTTTTAGCAGCACCAGTTCTCAGTCCAGATTCTTCCACAACCACAGACACACACATTGGTGCCAACAGAGTGCAGAGAGGGCAGAGTAAAAACAAGTGGTCAGGGCAGCAGCTGTGGATGCCAATAGTACTTCAAAAAAGTTACTTGTCAAGTGGTCTGTGAGGGTACTGCAAAGGGCTGCTTCCTTCTGAGTGTCTTGGACAACTCTGGGTGGGGTGGATCAGCCTCTGGCAGTGCCTGACTCATCGCTGGCTACAGAAGAAGGCTAAGTGACTACGTGCTTCATTTTTGGACAGTTAAATTTACGTTAAATGAATCACATGCAAAGTATACACAGACCAATGAAAATTACATAGCTAATTAGTAAAAAAGGGTTTAAATAGCTGGCTGGTGATGGCTCTACTTCAGAAAGAAATAATTTTGGCAAACAAACTGCTTTAATATCATGTAGATTTTATGAGTATTCTGACAGATGCTTTTTAATGTCTGGGAAAGTTCAAGACAGGCAATAACTGGATTGTCTGTAAACAGTAGGGACTTACACATTACCAAGTAACTATGTAAGAGCAAGAAGTTTGTAAACTGCATGTGTTACCAGCTCCTAACAGAATCTTGTCTGTTGCCCAAAATACAGTAAATAGGCTGTCTCCCTCTGGGGGAGGGAGACTGTATGAAGCAGTGTACAAGAGCATCTAATCTGGGAAAATCAGTGAGATGCTGGCCAACACTGTGATTAATCCTCTCAGAAATGTCATCAATTGAAATTTAGATGCCAATCTTTAAAAATGCCATTGATTTGTTTGACTGACAGAGCTCCAGGGTGCTTTGCAAATACAGGTCTTCTACAAATACAATGAAAACAGGCAAGTGGAAACTGAGAAATGGGGAGAAATAGCAAATTACAGAACACCAAAGTTAGCAAGTCGCTTCTCTAAGCCATTTTCTTGTTTTTAAATTGTTTCCCTCTCAATTTGTTTTGGCATCTTTAAGAGCAGAAGTAGGGTTATAAAGCAGATATAATCTGTGTTCTAAGCAGTGACTTGGTAAAATGAGCATTTGTGATTGAAAAGGGAAGGTGTTTTCTCTATAATTTAAGTGTACTTTTAGTAGGTCTATCAGCCTGAGTCTGTGTGTCTGAGGAAGGACAATTCCTACTGTCCCAGAGAAACGCTCTTTCTCTGTGTTTTGCTGCTGGCACATAAGAGGTTTCCCACCAGTTGAGAGAGGGAGAAGCGTTTTGTGGGAACAGGTGACGCTGGGTCATAGGAGTCTTCAAGGGGAGGAGTGCCCTCTATGGCACAGTTTGAGCATCGTTCCCACCCTGAAATTCCCTGTAACTCCAGCTGCTGCTGCTTTGCAATGCGGTTTTTGAAAAGGCAGTACGGCAAGGAAACACGTAGAGAACATGTTTATTTACCTTCCTCCGGCATTCTTAAGTGGTACATCAGACAGAGTGAACAGCATTAGATATGAAAACACGGATCCCAGTTTTTGTTTTCATCCTGCTTCCACACTTTTTTCTTGAGTTCATTTTAAAAGAGTTTCAAACCTGCTAAAGCTGGAAACAGCCTGCTATGTCACTTGAAATATATAAACCAGAACTTAGAACTAGTTACCCCTCAGGATGGTCCCATCCTGTTTCCTATGTCTAACAGCCACCAGAAACATCACAACACCTTTCCCCCACAGCAACAAACTGCCTGAGCATTAGGCCTTCTCTCTTCATATCTCTGCCCAAACCCTATTAGTTGCAATGCCTATTAGAAATCAACTAATAATTAGTGATCACTGAGAAAGGGTAGTTACTAATATGTTTTGAAGTGCATCTTTCTTAATGCATTGTCTATGGGAACAAAAGGAACTTCATGGACTTAGAGAGGAACAGAATTACCCTGGGTTTGAGTACTTTCAAACATTCTATTCATTTCTACTTTTAAAATAGCTGTGTATCTCCATAAGAACCTACATATGTTTTGCTTCCTTTTCTCTAATCCTTTGCTAATCATTTAACCACTGAGACTTTAAAATCATTAGCCCAGAAAATTTATCACAGGGTTCTCTGCAAAGTCTTGACAAAGGCTTCTCCGTGATGCTGCAGTATAAACATGAAAACCAGTCATCCATGCACTTTTATTGTGTTTCTTCACCCAGGGGTCATGGAGCATTCACAGAAAAATACTTGATTTTTTAAAAATGCTGGTAAAAGACAACGAAAGAAAAAAAAAGAAGATATATATATTTTTTAAGCAGGGGGGATATAGGCACATACATGGCTGAGGTCTGTCTTTTCCTCGTCTGAAATTGGCATGATATATCCAAGAATTTCGAGCTGATCGACACAGATCTCCAGCACAGCAGCAAACAGCAGAGCTTCCAGATGAGTGACTTTTTCCATTTGTTTAGTCTCTGTGTCCTTGCTAAGAGGAACAAAGATAAAAGATACCAATCAGAAAAACACTATGGTATTAGTAATGTTAGTAACAGTAGTTTAAACTAAAGGTAGCCCTGAAATAGCTTTATTTGCAGCCTTACATATACTTCCCTGGCTTTGTTTATAGCCTTCCATACACTGTTTATAAGAGGAGCCTGCTCTGCTAATGGCTGCATTCAGGGACAGTGGGAATGTTTAGCTTTCACAAAACAGAGAGGTCCTGGTCCCTCCTACAGCAGATCTGGGTGGACAGGCTGGGGACGGAATGGGTGAGGTGTCTGATCCTTCACTTCAAGAGGGAGCAGTGTTTCACAGTGGACTTTGGGAAACAACAGAACAAAGGTGCCTTTTTTAAAAGGAAAAAATTAATTGACGTCATAAAATGACAGATGGTGAACCTCCCTGCCCTAATCATTCCTCGTTATTACTGCGTAGCCTTCACACTTCTGTGATCTCAGTCCCCTCAGAAGGAAGTGTTACCAACTTAAGATGCTGCAAGTCAAACAAGAACCAATTCTTGGACTAAATAAACTATCTTAAACATTCTGTGTTATTTCATTTTAAATGGCTCTTCAAACATGAAACTGCTCTGACATACACTTAAGCACCCCTTTGCCTTGCTTGCAGATAGAATATTGTGAAAGCACATTGAGGGAAAAGTAGAAATTTGCTATTAAAAAATATCTAAGAAAACCCATGCACAGCAATGGAGAAATTATCGGAGAATTATGATGTTTTAATAAGCCTTTGGACAATCCCTCCAAACCCTGCACGTACAAACCAGCTATTTATTGTATAACATGTAGCCCAACTGGAGTCTGTGATGGCTGAGATTCTGAGTGGCCCTGCAATTGGAAGCATCAACATCCACTAACAAAACCTTCATTTGGCTGCTATACCTACAACTTGGTTTTTGCCATCTGTAAAACCCTTGAATAAACATATTCTAGGCCTGCAGAATATCACAGTCCAATCTGTGAGTGTGCCTGTTTGGATGCAGAGGTTTGGATGCAGTTGTGCTCTGGATGACTGGAAGTCAGTAAGATTTCAAAAGCAAGTGTTTAAAAAAAGGCATACTTGCTATAACCTCTCCAAAGCTGTTATCATTTGTCCTCATCCTTTCCTGTTGTCTTTGTTGAAGAAAATATATTCATTTAAAGTTGGAACATGGAGTTAACTTCACATGGGCAGAAAAAAAGGGCCACTTTTCAGTTCAGGTTTATTTGATGTCTGTTAGTACAGAATAGGTGAAACAAAAATAACTTAGATTTTACATATTTGTTTCCTGGTGTCCCTCTGTTGCAGTGAGTTTGATTAATGCAACACATGTTGAAATGTGCTGTCCTTTGTAACAGGACACAGCTCTCCTTGGGGATAAGATTACAGCTGGAAAGTGTGCGAGGGGCACTGACTGGGATTGCTCTCTCTAAGTACATAGGAAGAGTAGATACCAGGAAGAGACAGAGGTATTTAAGTTAAAGGATAATGCTGGCCCAGGGTCAAAGGAGTGTAATTTCCCCTAAGCCAGGCAATTATGATAAGGTTTCTGACTTCTGGATGGATGAAGATATGGAACAGCCTTTCAGACAAGGTAATGGTAGGGGCACCCTGATTTATTTCAAGAAGCTGCTTAAATCGTGGCAGGAAAAGATAACAGCCAAGCAGTGATTCTGAACATTGTGTTCACTGTCCTCCTTGTATTGTTTATACCACTTACCTAATTAATCCCACTGTGCGGGGCTTTTGATGACAAAGATGGAACTGATTTCATCCCTTTGCTTCTGAGATTTTTTTCCTCCCCTTTATCTTAATTAAAAAAAAAAAAAGTAACATTTTGAGATAGGAATCTGATAATAGCATTAACAAATAAATAGCAAATAATCTATATAATAAATGAAACCCATCACTTTTCCTTTCTTTTCAGTGTTGGAATCAATTATAGAAGTGGAGATGCAGAAATTAAGTATTTTTACATGAAGAAAGTCAGACAGTGTCTTTTTGCAGTCCACAGGCACTAATAAAATATTTTTAAATGTTTTACTCATTTTTATCTTTTTCAGAAACCTAAGATCCATATTTTGAGTCTAAACAACATGAGAATAATCTGTTACATGTGCAGACCTAATGCTAAAAATATGATGAAAAAAGATGTGTTGGGAGATAGCCGTGACAGATGATTATGGCAGCATTTTTGAAAGAGAAAAAAATGCATCTCTCATAGGAAAAAGTGACTTATCTGGAAACAAAGAAGGATGCAACAGCTTTTCCTCTTTCTCATCATCAGCTTCTGCCCAAGAGAGAATTAACTCAGGATATCAGTGTTGCTGGAATGTTTCTCTAAAGCCTTTGCTCCTCCTTTGTATCCCTATCCTCACTCAGGAGATCCACGTGCCAAGTCAGTAGGCTCTGGGCTTATGCTGGCTTGGAAATAAGAAGGAGACCACTGTGTGGGGCAATAGGAAACACTACAAACAGGAGCTGCTTGCTCTGGATTTCAGTGTCAATGCAATACCAACAGACCCTCCTGATGCAGCCACTGGCACTGCCCTTCATTGCTGTGTTTGCTGAACTCCCTCATTAAACTCTATTAACAATAATTAAAAAAAAATAAAAAAGAGGTATGTGAAGGATTCCGCTTCCCCCAGGAGTTGTGGTTGACATTCTTTCCCTGCTGATATAAAGGGAAAGGAAAACAAATCAAGAAATAATTTTTAAAACATCTGTATAAAAAGGCCTGGCCTCCTGTTCCTTTGGGGATTGCAACTCCCTCTGCTGTGTGAGAGCCCTGGATATTCATTCCTCCCACCCTGCTGCCCCATAAACGAAAATGGCTTCAAAGGCAGCATTTTGTGCAGCATCCCTTTTAGTCAGCTAAAGAGATTCTGGTGAATTCCAGTGAGAAAACACAGAGCTGAGGATGTCACATCTCCTTTTGCTCTCTTTGGCAAGCGATTGGCATGGAGAGGTGCTGAACATCCACCATGGCAGCAACTGCGCCAGAAATCACAAATAGCTTCGTTTTTACCAAAAAAAGGTCTCTCAAAAAGCAAAATAGCTGTGGCCTTACAAAACCCTGGCTACAAATGTTAGAATGGAAGGTGCTCATTTGGAAAAAAAGAAAAAAAAATGAGGGAAGGGAAGGGAGAAGGGAGAAGGGAGAAGGGGGAGGGGGAGGGGGAGGGAAGGTTTGGGAAGGGAAGTTCCTAAATCACTTAAAGCACTCTGAAAATGCACCTGAATGTGTGGCAGTGTCACACAGTGAAGTGAGAGGAATCAGGAGTGAATGACATGACCCTGATGTGAGGAAATGGTGACTATGTGCTGCCACCTGTTTTTATCTAGAAAACACAGGGATGTAAGACTTCATTACAGGGATTTGAGTGTAGAAACGTGTTCTCTGTCACCGAGGCGATATCGGGAGTAAAATAAATACGAAATGATTCACTAATTCAAGGTGAGAACAGAGGAAGAAGGGCAGGGCCCGGAGCCCACCCCGAACACCAGGCGCTCCCGGTGCCGCTCCCTCCCCCCCCACCCCGATCCCGGTGCCGCTCCCTTCCCGGTGCCGCTCCCGGTACGGCTCCTCCCGCCGCCCTCACCGGGACGCGCCGCCCGTCTCCATGGCAACCACCACGCTCGGGGGCCTCGCGAGGTTGCCCGGCGGGCGCCTGCGCGATGGGTCCGAGGCCGACCCTCCCGGTATCTCCTGCCCGGGATCGCCCCCCAGGGGTCCCGGGACGGGGCGGGGGGCGCGGCGGGGGCGGCGCGGAGGCCACTGTCCCCCCACCATCATCACCGCCACCTTCATCTCGGTGCCGCCCGCTCAGGCGGCGCCCGGGCGGCCCTCGGCGGGTCCTCGCGGCGTCCTTCCCGTGGGGCCGCGCGGGGCGGGTCTCTCTGTCCGCCATCTTGGGGCGCTGAGGGTGAGTTGGAGCGGGGCCGGCGGGGCTCGGGCCGGGCAGCGGGGCCGGGGGGGCCGCACCCCCGCAGGGCTCGGCGGCGGGCGCGGGGCTCCCGGGGCTCTCCGGATGGCGCGGTGCAGGCCGGGCAGAGCGCGGGATGGCGCCGATGCGCGGCGGATGGTGCCGACCGCGGGCCGGGGCCCTGGGCCGGAGGCGCCCGGGGCAGCCGCGCTGTGGGGGAGCGGAGGGTCGCGGGGCTCGGGGTGACCCCGCGGGTCCGCTCATCGCTGTGTGTCGTTTCCAGGCCTGCCGGGACCGGCTCTGCGCGGGGACGCCATGACCGGGAGGTGAGTGAGTGCCCGGCGGGGCAGGCTCGCTGCTGCAGCGCTGTTCACATGGGCGTTTTGGGGAGTGTTGAAACAGCGGGCAGTGATCCGTGTTTCTGTGGTTGCTCTGGTTTTCCAGGCTGTCTTCTCTGCCCGGTGTCTTGCTGGGCCCACAGATGTGTGTCCCTATTCCAGAGTTCCTCTCTCGGGCTGTTACAGCTCTGGCAAGGCTGTGCCGCGGTTTCCTTGGCCAGTCAGTAAATGCAGGATATCGATGGTGGTTTTGTTAGCACAGTGTTTGTAAACCTCCAGTGTGCAAGAGAGGCTCGGATATCCTGCTCCCTTGAGTAAGGGAGCTGCTGTGCCGTCGAGATTTTTTATTGATGTAAGGATTGCGTTTGTAAACGAGGGGGGTTGACTGAGCACTCTGTTGCCCAGAGGAGTTGTGGACTCCTCCCTGGAAGTGTTCAAGGCCAAGTTGGATGGGGTTCTGAGCAACCTGTCCAGCGGAAGGTGTCCCTGCCCAGGGCAGGGGGTTGGAACTGGGTGGTCTCTGATGTCCCTTCCAACCCGAACCGTTCAACGGTTCTGTGAATCACAGCTTTGTCTTGACGTTTGTCCGTGGAGTTCATCTCCTGTTCCACACGTGTGGCAGGGAGAACTCGATATCTCAGCTTGATCCTGCTGTATCCCGGGACAGGTGGTGGATGCAGTTGGGACAGATGTGCTGCGTACACGGTGTATGGAGCCGCCTTATAATGGCCTTACCTGCTTCGTCCTCAGGAGTTGGTGTGGAGTTTGTGTGGTGCCTCTGTCCAGGGGATGTGGAGTTGTGTCTGGCTGCCTCCACAGGCTCCAGCTAATTCCTTTGAGGCTACAAATTAGGAGCAGTTCATACTTTTTGTAGGAGTTCCTGTAACACAGGAGGCTGTTTTTCTAGTGTGTAGCCAAAAGCTGTATTTATTCATCACAGTGTCAGTAGACATTTGGAAACATCTACTGATGCTGAAGCACTTCAGCTTTAGTGTAAAACCTGTAGTGTGGTGTCAGAAAGCTGCAAAGTTCTCATAAATACTTCATCATTAGGTACTTGGGTTTCCTCTGTTCACCAAATGTAAGGATTTGCATTGATTTGTAAAGGTGGGGTTTTTCCTCTGCTGAATTTCTACCAGTTTAGTGGTAGAATTAGTTTATAATTATAGTTGGTGGAATTAGTTTCTGCTGAAACAGCACATGGTTTATTTTTACTTTTGTTGTTCTGGAGTGATTTATAACTTGCAGACGTTTTCCATGTCTTCAGGCTGTGGTGCAAGGCCATTTTTGCTGGCTACAAACGTGGCCTCCGAAACCAGCGGGAGCACACGGCCCTTCTGAAGATTGAAGGTGTTTATGCCCGTCAGGAGACAGACTTCTACCTGGGCAAGAGGTGTGCCTATGTGTACAAAGCTAAAAAGTAAGTCACATTTTATTCTTATGTTGAATTAGCCAACTCTTGTGTCAGCTTTTGCACGAGCCAGGATGTGAGCAGGCTGTTCATAGAGCTGTTGTTAGAACAAAAATTAATTGTACTGGATTTATCAACAGAGTATCCTATGGACCACTTTCCTTGCTTAATTTTTTTTTAAAAGTCCTTGGTTATTTTTGCTTTAGTTGGCTGATATGTTTTAATTCAGATAATTATATTCTGTGAAATAATCATTCACTTCATAAATGGTGAATTAAGAGAGCAAATGGGATGAGAAGCAAGTTTTGCCTGAGAGTGGCAGAAACTGAAGGTGGGTTGATAGAGTAAATTGAGGTAAAGTGAATTTGTGTGGAGTTGAGCACTGTGTGCTGTTGAGTTACAATAGAATGATTTTGTGAAGCCTGGAGGAATTTGTATCCTGGCTTTTGTGTGGCCATGTCAGAGAACTCTCTGTGACTTCTGTTCTGCTGCCACTGGCAGATGCCTTGAGAAAAGCAACTTATTACCTTCCACTTCTTTTTTTTTAATTTTGTTGAGTGTAGTTGTTAGTATTCAGAATTGCCTTGAATAAAATTGATTAGATTGTTAACTTGACCACCATCATTTCCAACGTATGGCACATGGCTGTTCACGTAAAGCACTTTATACCATCTGTTCTAATGGCTTAGTTTTCTCATACTTTTGTTGTGCCTGGAGAAATCTTATAAATAAGACTTCAACTCCAATTTCTTTGGAGTTGAAATTTTTCAATATGAACACATTAGCAGCAGTGTTTTCCAAATTTTTGAGCCTGGTAACTTGTTAGGAGTTCTCCAGTGGAGCGCCTGGCAAATTTCACAGGTAAATGAAAGTGGAAGTTGGTCGATTAAAGTTGGCTGTGGAATAAAGTTACTGAGGTGCCTTGAAGAGGCCACGCTGTCCCCGATGGTGACAGCAGAGCCGTGACTGCCGTGCTCAGCTGTTCTTCCCTCTCTTCCCCAGCAACACCGTAACCCCCGGGGGGAAGCCCAACAGGACACGGGTGATCTGGGGGAAAGTGACCCGGGCCCATGGGAACAGTGGCATGGTCCGTGCCAAGTTCCGCTCCAACCTTCCTGCCAAGGCCATTGGACACAGAATCCGGGTGGTAAGTGGATTTGTTTTGAAAACAAGATATTTATTGGCAGTTTTCAGGGTGCCTTTTTATTCCACATACTATGAGGGAACACTCGTGGTTTTGTTCTGTTGGTGTTGTGTACAACGTGGCTCAGTGATAGTGGTCCTTTTGGAGCCAGGAGAGGCTTATTCCTGGCTTCTTGGGCTCATGTAATTTGTCTCATTACCAGGGGCCTGTGTGCTTGCTCAGGTTGTCTGGAAAGGCTCTTCAAGTTCTAGGACTCAGGTCCCTTCTTAAGCTACCTTGATTTTTTTTTCCTGGATCTTTTCCATGTATTTTTGCACCCTTCTACTCCAGTTCCTACCTGTTAATTTTTCTACTGCCTCCCAGATGTTGTAACTGAGGGGAGTGCTGTCCTAACGTGTCCCCCGGTACCTGCTCCACAGTTGGTGTCTTAGCCCCAGGGCTGTAGTGATACTGTACCTTTCGGTCCCTCACCCAGAGTTGTAATGCAGTATTTTCATACTGATGATGTCAAAAGGAGTATCAGAGGAGTGCAGTTAAATCCTGAATCCAGAGTCATGGGAACTGTTGCAGTTGTTGTGCAGGAGGGCTGGCGAAGTCATGCTGCGAGGCACCGAACCATCTGTTGGGCTTTTCCATTGTCACACCTCTTCTCTGTAAACTGGGGGGTTGCTTTTATAGCAGTTGAAGAGATTGATGGTCTAGATTGTAACTGCAAAACTTGTGTTTAAAAACAAGATTTCTAATATGATTTTATCTGGTTTTGTGTTTTACAGATGCTGTATCCATCTAGGATCTAAATTTTTATTGAAAATAAAATGGAGAATCTGTTTAACTTGTGTACATTTCTGGTTTTTATCCCCTCCACCAATTTTGAGCGACTTCTTTCTCAGTAACATATCAGAGTTGACAGCACAGAGATGCTGCTGGGACACGAAGCTGCACAGTGGAACAGGGATTGGACATATTCCTGGTGAGATGTTTGTAGAGCAGGCTGCACTCTGAAGATAAATAACTGCCACCTCTGTGCCTCCTGTCATGGAATCAACATCACACCCGTTTAGCTCATTGCAGGGCTAAACAATAAATGTTTGTAACCTCACAAACTGCACACAACTGTTGTATAGAACATGAGAAGTGTTTTCTTGCTGACCTAGTAGAGGGGAAATTCCTGTATGTGGTACTGAACTGTTGGTGAGTCAAAACTGCGTAATTGTGACATCCTACCCTTAAGGGTGGGATGTCACAGTGGTGGGTCACTAAATCCTAGCCAGGTGCAAGTTCTCTCTCACATCTGAAGATAGCAGTTCCAGTAAAATCCTGAATAATGAGTCTGTTGTGTACCTGGGCAGCTCATGTGCCTGTAGTATCTGCTCTGTGGAATTAATTCAAACACATTCTCATCACAGCTCTGTGGTGCGTGAGTGTTAACACTGGCTGGATTCCTGGCCGGCCTTATCGCATCATCTCATGTGGGGCCAGGATCTTCACATCACTTTCACAGCTCTCTAAGGTTTGTTGAACATTAAGGGTGGTGAAAAACAAGTTTTAAGCCTTGAAGTGCAAGGCTCAGAGGTTCTTAGTACATCCCCCAAAAACACTGGATAGTTCCAAGGGAGGTTTGAGGCAGCTGCAGGTTGTCATGGTTGCTGCTGATGTCATAGTCCCAAAATGACTTGTGGATACCTTGGGAGGACAGTTGCACACATTCTGTGTAGTTCCATCATTTTCAATGCATCCCTAGTCAGGCAGGCAGGTGAGTCCTTGGCTCAACCATCCCTGGGCCCACTCCAGTGCAGTCCCTCCTTCCCAGGAATGTGAGCTTCCTTCTCCCTGCCTGGCCCTGCTGCCAGTATGTGGCAGGGAACCCTCTGAGCTGTTGGCTTTGCCTGTCTCCTGCAGTGGGCTGGTATTTCACAGCTAGTCCTCTTCCTTCTGAAGGAGGTGGAATAGTTGTATGTGGAGAGTGCATTGTTGGGTAAATTGAACTTTCCTTTGAATGAGAATTAGAAAACTGGACCTGTCTGCTCAGTTCAGGTATAGAGGCAATTCTGCTGGACTTGCTTCAAGATCTAATCCTGCCACTGCTGTCCCTGGCAGCAGGAGTGCCAGTGCTGTTGAAAGCTGCATTTTTTTAATGGGGAGAAACTGCAACTTAGGGGATGTTGGGCCAAGTCAAGAAGGCCTTTAGTCTTCCACAACTAGCAGTGGGTTGTACACATAGGATTTAAAGAAAGATGGGTGGAATTTCCAGCTTTAGCCATGACAGAGGAAGGAGAAGGAAACACAGCAAATTTGACTGTAACAACAGGTTGGTAGGCTTGTGGTCACTACCATGTAGCTGGCTTTTGCTGATGAGAATGTAGTAAGGCCTCTTGAGTTTGATGCCTAAAAATACATAATGATCCCTTTTCTTTCTCCTGTCATCTTTTTCTGCTGTACCAGACTGCTGAGGTACAAAGCCTCTTTCTGGGAGGTCCAACATCAAATAGCACAAGGCTGTAATTTTTGAATCTTTGTGTCAAAACTCTGCTATTTCCTTTCATGTTCATTTGTTCCCACCAAACCCAGGGTCTGCTGCTCAGAGCAGCAGGTGCTGCCTGTTTTGAGAACTGTGCTGTGCAACTGCCTTTGCTACAGCAACCCCCTTGCACTCCTTTCCTCAGCAGCACAGCAAGCTGACGTGTGGGAGGAAGCTATGGCATCAAAGGAGCCTGCCTCCTTCGTGGACCGGACCACCTGGGAGCTCCTCAACCTGCTGGACATGCTGGGAAAGCGGAATGGACGGGTGGGAGTAATGGAGGTGGACGATGCCGAATCAAGAGCCCCCTCGTTGCTGGTGGACTTTACTCGGGACCTGTGTGGCACAGGTGACATCAAACATAAGCCACAGCAGGCAGGGAGTGAGGGAAAGGAAGAGGAGGATGTGATTCCGCCACATCTGATTTTTATGCTGTGGCAAGCCAGTGTGTTGAAGAGGCTCATGCAGTGGGATCACTTGGATGAGGCCATCCGGGATGTGAGGAACCTCCTCCCTTGCCTGCCGGATGTGCTGGTGCTTGTGATGATCCGTCCAGACTGCCAGGAGCAGCTGGACCAGGCAGTGAGAGCACTGAGGAGAATGCAGTGTGTGCTGGATGGGGCCCTGCAACTGCCCGTGGAGACGGCGATCTACAGCCCAAGCCAGCCTGGAAGTGTCCTGGAGGCAAAGAGAGCTGCCTGTAGAGCTCTGAGAGAAGCCTTGAACTGCCATGAAGGTAACTGGTGACACAGCTAAACACAGGGCTGGGGGACAGACAGGGTTTTTGGAAACAAAAACATGCACAGGGTGAGCAGGGAGGAGTCTGAGGGACAGTGTAGGTGGAAGTGGTGCTTGGTGGCTGGATTCAGATACAGGAGGAAAGATAAGCTGGACCATGTAGGCAATGTGAGCTGGAAAAAAGAATGAGGGCTTAAGGGTAGGGATGGGGAAGGACCATGTGTCTGAGCCAACTGTGCCCTCTTCTGGCGGCTCTTGCTTGCCCCAAACCACAAGTGGCTACAGAAATGCTGCTCAGTGTAAGAGCTGCAGTTCTGACTCCACTGCTGGGGTTTTCTCTGATGATATTAACAGTTCTTCACTGGAGGGATGGGCCAACCTTTCTGGGTGAGCCACAGGCCAAAGCTTTGAATAGGATGGTGCCAACTGTTCTGTCATTTGTATTTCCTCCCCTAGAAGTCGACTCCCAGGAGCCATTTATTATTTCGCTCCCGGAGCTCAGATATTGCCGTGTTCTGCCTGAACGTAGGCAAGACAAGGTATCAAAGACGGATGGAGAATGAATTCCCTTGGGCAGCAGAACCTGTCAGGTTGGTTTCAGCACTGTTCACCTGCTGTCCTTTTGCAGAACACTTCCCTCCTGGTGCCTTGCTTGTCTGCCCAGGCCTTCTGCATGGATATAATTCATTTTGTGGCTGCTGCCAGAAGGGGACACTGCACCCTCAGCATCACACTGTCCTTGCCACAAACCTTGGAGTTCTTTGCTGCACTGGCTGAACAATCTACCTCAGGAAACTTCTGTCAAAAATCACTGAATTTCTGCTTTGCATGAAATGCCTTGCTCAATTATCAGAATCTCCCTGAAAAACCTGTCCCTAAGAGACCAGCCACCAGCAAAGAGGGAATCACACCAGGCCAGAGGCCTCTGGATTTAAACTGTCCCCAAACTGAGATAGTGAAAGAAACGCAGAGCTAAGACCTAAGACCATGTTTTCCCAAGAAAGCTTGGATGCAGGGGTCTTTGGAACGTAGTTCCCATCAACACAAAGCTCCTGAAACTCCCCAGGGTTCTTCATAGTAGGGAGCTGACCTTACATACAAGTGGATACCAGTAGACCTCTAGCAGGTTTAATTATTGAGATGGGTTATTTTGGATGAGAGGAACTGTGGGAGCAGTGGATTATTTTTAAGTCCAATTACCCACATAAAAAAAATAACTGAACTCATTTCCCATCCTCTCTGGGCATGGCAAGGCACTATGGGTAGCTGCCTGTTTTTGTATTGGGAGTTTAAATGTATTTCTTTTCTGGGTTTTTTTACAGATCTTTTATTGCCCTAAGGTCTTCATTATCATCAAAAGAAGGATTAAAAGCCTGATATTTATCTCATTTCTTTGTGTGTTTGTGTGTATCTATAAGCTTTAAAGCTTATATGTAAGACTACGAAACTCCTGCTGAAGCTGCAGGTTTGTGCAGTATGGTACAGAAGGGGGGGGATTTGGGGGTGGCTCAGAGCCTCTGAACCAATGTTTCTCAGGGAAAAGATCCTCCAAGTTATTTTTCAAATATGGGCTCTTTCCACATCCTTAAGTACAATGTGGCTTTACGAAAAAAAACAACCTTGGTGCGGGTGTTGGGGTAATGCTGGTGCTTGGCAGCCTCTTGGATGAAGTGACCCAATTGCTCTGTTGTGGAAGAGACTGTCCATGAGCGTTCGGGCATCTGAAGAGGAATTCTGCCCTTCACTAGCGAGGACACTGACTTTTGTTTTATGGATGAAGCTAATGCAGAAATAGTTCCCTTGAGTGAATACAAGACGTGCACAGTTCAGGCTGTTTGTGTGTAGGAAGGTTGGTGTTCAGAGCCTCCTGATCAGCACATTAGGACATCTTAAAGCAAGTAGCCACAATGAGGTCCTGTGTTTTTATTATTTCCTGTAGCATCTGAAACATATGGATAACCACCAAAATCCAGGCATAGGCCATGCAGCTCTCAGGTTTCTCCTTTGGCAGCATGTTTCCACTGTGTCCAGGCACTTCTGTGCAGGGTGATGTGCAGCACTGCCAAACACTCCTGGTGAAAGGGGAAAGAAACTTTGAGGCATCTGTTTGAAATCCTGGCCAGGGCCTGGGAGCATGGGAATGCCCTGCAAGGGCAAGTGATGTAGCCACAGGGAAGTGTGGCTGGGATGGATAGGAGAAGAGGCAGAATGCCATGGATGCTCTCGAGCTGCACTCTTGCTTCATTCTCCACCTAATCCTGGGTGGATATATAGGAGTCTTTGAGCTCCCTGCTCTGCTGCTGGGACTGCTCCCCCAACTTGCTGAAGTCCAACAAAGGCAAGTCATGGGACATCTGCTCTTTAAATGCTGAATGCCTTTCTCTCTTTGACTAATGCAGGGTTGGTGGGTTCTCATGTGACAGCTCTGCTGCCAGGCTGGCCAGGAGCAAAGTAGGAACAAAGAACTGTGGCCTAAAACCTCTCCACCCAGCTCAGCTGCAGCCCAAGGAGGAGGCACACCAGCAGGCATCAGGTCTGGCAGCACAACCAGAAAAAAAGGCAAAAAGAGGCAGCGTGGTCCTTGGGTCTGATTTCATATTAATTGCCATTTTTTTAACATCTTCCATTGGAGGATCAAAGAGCAGAGCAGCCTGAGGGGCAGCCTCCATCCATCTCTAAGGTGACAGGCAGAGGTATCCCTCCTATTGTGTGATCAGGACTGACACAACAGTTTGGGCTCCCTGTACATGGCCCTGTGCCAGGGTCCCATCCTCCTCTTCAGCCGTACCTTCCTATGCCCCTTTGCCATCCAGAAAGGGATGGTGACTTAAGGAAAATTAAGGAAACTTAGGACAACTGCAGAGGTGGGCAGGAAGAGGCACAGCTTTCAAAGGGAACAGGATTTGGGAGAAGAGGGGCAGGGAAATCTTTGAGGTTCCCCATCAGGAAGCCAGGCTGTGTCCCAGGCTTGGGGCAGCCAGGAACTTCCCAACTTTATTTGCTTATGGTGTGTAACCTCCCCTGAATGGAGCTCAGAGAAGTTTGATTACTTGCATGGATCCAGGCTGCCATGGGACCAAAACTGGGGCTGCCTCAGCTTTCCCTGGAGGTCTGGGGCAAGGGGACCTGGACCAGAACAAAGTGACAACCCAGCTTGGATTTTTGTGACTGAACTTGTAACAGAAAGGGTTCTGTCTGGTTTGATACAAAGTTCAAGCTCCGGGGGGGGAAGGGGGGGAATAGGAAGGAGTTTGGCTTCAGGGGCCAGAAAGATTGAGGGGAGTTTTAGGAAAGGTCAGTGGAGGAGATGGGAAGAGCCATGGAGGAGTGAACAGAAGATGGGCTAGAAGGGTATCAGTGAGACTGGGATGTTCAGGACAAGGGGATAGATGAGGTTTGGGGTATTTTCTTCTTTCACAATTACCTCCTCTATTACTTCTTTGGGGTACCCTCGAAGATCTCCCTGGATGAAGAGCTCAGTGAGTGCTGGTGCCCTGCAGCAATGCTTCTGGTAGTGCTGCACAAGTAAAGCAGATGCTTTCCAGCAACTCATAAGGATGTGTTTTTCCAAAGCAGTAAATTGAAGCAGTCTTGGAGAACAGGTCTGTGACAGAGCACTTGTGCAAAGATTTGCTAAGGCTTAGCTTGTCAGCAGCCAGTTGCCATTCCTGGCTGGCTCAGAGGCTTTTCCATGTGCTCCCATGAGCTCCAACACTGGGCTGGGTCACTGAACATTGGGCTCAGAGCTACTCCCACAAAATTCCCCTCTGCACTTCTAACGTCAAAATTGGCATGAGAATCCTTTTTCCCCATCCTCTTTCTACTCTCTTCAGAAGTGAGGTTAATCTTGGTAAATGCACCTCTTAAGGGCTCTAATCCAGTGGACCTTTGATTTTGTTTAGACTTCAAGGCACTACTAATACACATACCAAATTTATTTCTCTGAACAAAACATCTCCTCCTTTGAAGTCCAAAATGAGCAGCTGTTGTGTCTGCTCTGAACAGCTATGGGCATGTGTAAGAGATGTGATTACTCTCATTTAGGGCTGTCTGTAGAGATTCTCTACAATTGTGACTGTCAGATGGATACTTGAAGGAGTGTCAGGCCTTCCAAATACATCTGTGTTTTTGCTCAAATTCCTGACAGGGCTCTGAAGACACTGGGGGGGCAACTACAAATGCTGCTGAGCTCATGACTGCCTCTGATCTGTTTGAGTGGTACCTCCTTAAGTAACACAAAGGGAGATAAAGTTGTATGTGCTATTAAATCTTACCTCTGTTAATGAGTAAAGAAATGTAAACAAGGTTGTTTGGGTATTGTGGGTGACATTCACCTTTCCAAACAGCCTCTGCTGGTGTGTACCCAAAATTAACTAAAGAATTGCAGTGGCCATGGGGAACAGTTCTATGTAGTCCCAAATATTAGTTTTTAGTGGCTCTGCTGGCAGTTTAAACATTGGGGCTGCTGGAGAAATGTAGCCAGTGGTGTGCTTTCTGAGCTGAGTTAGGAAGATAACTTCAATTTTTTCTATACCTTCTCTGCAAGATTTATCTTCATAAATCTTGGGAATTGCCTGCCTGAAAGCCAACTTCCCAATGCCTGAGGCATCTTGGCATCTCCAGGCTAGTCACTGGCACAGCACGGCTTGAAAAGAGCCCTGTGAGATGTGCTGTAAATGGGCTGCACATCAGGGAGGGTGTAATGGGCACAGCATAGGCTGTGCTGGCAGCTCAGGAGGAGTTTAAACACTCTGTGGGTCTTCTTGTGGCAGTTTGCAGGGAGATGAGGATTTCTGGGACCATCACATCCTCTTGTCCCCTCCTGCTGCTGCTGGCACAGCTCATGGTGCTGATTACACCTGGGCTTTCCCCCACTGGACCGTGAGGGCCATGAGCAGGATTCTGAACAGATGAGAAAAAAATCCTTGTTCATACAAAATCTGGGCAATACTAAGGCCAGACCTGCCTGTTGAGTTTATGTCTGACTTTAGCCCTGCCATGTTGACAGCTGCTCTGAGGGCTGTCATATTGGCATGGAAGCATGGGCTCTTGCAACAATAGACCCTGATCTTTGGAAGAGGAGCCTAATCCTTCTGTTTTATCTCCCCTCTTCCCTCCCCATTTGCTTATCAGCACGTGTAATAAGTAAGTTACTTTTGCTGGGACCCAGGGCAGAAAGTCTCTCTCTCTCTTTGCCTGGGCTGTCCATCCCCACCATGCTGAGGCAGCGTTTGCTCAGACTGTCATACCTGGGGCAAATGTTTTCCTGGATTAAAATTGGTGGTGCACAGTGACCTTCCCGAGCTGTCACACCTCTGTTGAGCCTGGGGACCAGCCTGTGGCACATCCCTCTCACTGTGGCTGCTGATCTGCTGGGCTCTGAGGACGAACGTCTACGAGTATGGGCAGGGAGCAGGCACCTGGCTCAGACACTTTCCTGTCACAAATGTGACAATGTCCCAATGCACATGTTGGGAATCACTGATCCAGGGCAAGCAAGTGGATTTCAGCTCTGCTTTAACCCCACAGTGCACTCAGAGATGGTTTGGCTCCAAATGGTCTCAGAGACGGACTGGCCAAGGTGATTCTGGCCGTTTGCACCTTTGAGCTGTTTATCCCTTCCCAGGTTATTGCGATAAGATTTTACCGTTACTGGTTTGGAGGAGCCAGTTCTGATATGGCAGAGGGGAAGTATTTACCACATGCCACGGATTGGAGCTTCCCCATGCAAGTGCCAGGGCTGGGCACAGCAGCTTTCATTCGATCAGCCTGCAGAGCCAGCTCGTGGGATACGTGTAACAAGTGGCATCAGTGAAGCCCTGACTAAAGCGAAGCCCCGACTAACGTTCCATATTCACCCCTGCAAATATTTGTGCTTTGATGGGACATGTGTGTATCACTGCAGAACCCTGCTGATGCTGTTGGGACTGTGACTGTGGACTGTGTTTTGTGTGGAGGAGCTTGGATGTGGTGTTGGCAGAGGGAAAGACAAAGGGCACTGGCTTGAGGAGGGATTCAGAGGTGCAGAGTGTGGTGTGGGGACTGCAGCTCAGCTGGGCATGAATTGGGGAACTTGTGACCAGTGGGGTGGGTATGTCCTTTGAGGGCGTAATTGTTCCCAAAGTGGAATTGTTTCCAGGTGAGGCTATAGCCTGGCCTGGCTGTGCAGCTCCGTAGTGCCAATGGCCCACGATGCCAGGGAGTTCACTCCATCGCTGCCCTGGGGTATGGGATGTTACACCCTAAGGGACACCTCATACCATTTGAGGTGTAAGATCAGCTGCTCCTCTACTGCGACCCGTGTGTGTCCCACTTTGCAGCCACCACAGCCTCTGCTCATCCCCCTCTCACATTCCTAGCCCCTCCACAGCATGGGTTTTGCCTGAATTTTATCACTTCTTCATGTGAAACCAGACCAGCCTGTGCAAGAGCTCCGAGGCTGGTTGTGTGGCCGATGGGGGGGTCCCATGCCCCCCACTAATACCGTCTCCGCTGTACTCCCCCTGCAGCCGGCGGGGGCTGTTCCCTGCGGGTGTGTGCGGGGACGGGACGGGGCTGGAGAGGGGGATCGACGACACCCCCGCCCCGCTGCCCGAGGTGTGCGCACGGGGTGTTGCTCTGCGCGGGGGCCGGGGCAGTGGGCGGCGCGGAGCCGGGGCCGGTGCGGGTTGGGGTGTGGGGCCGGGCTGGGAGTACGGCGGGGGATGGCGGCGGCGGCGGCAGAGGAGCTGCAGGAGCTGCGGGCGCTGGTGGAACGGGCGGGCGGGCGGCGGGCAGTGCTGTTGGTGGCCGAGGTGGCCGAGGGAGCCCCGGCAGCGCCCGCGATGGCCGCCTTCGCCCGCGACCTCCTGGGCGACGAGGCGCCGCCCGCGCCGTGCCCGGTGCCGGGGTGCCGGTCGCGGCGGCGGCGGGCGGGCGGAGGGCGGCGGAGAGCGCTGGACGCGCGGCTGCTGCTGGTGCTGTGCGGGGCCGCGCGGGGCCGCGGGGCCCGGGCCCGCCTGCGGGAGGTGGTGCGGGACGTGCGGGGCCGCCTGCCCGCCGCGCCGCCGCCCGCCGTCGTGGGAGTCCTGCTGCCCGGCGGGGCCGGAGAGGACGCGGCCGTGCTGGACGCGGCGCTGCGGCGGCATTTCCCGGAGCCCGGCACGGTGCAGGCGGCCCGGTACAGCCCCGGCTGCCCCGGCGAGTGCCGCGCCGCCGCCTGCCGCGCCCTGCGGGCCGCCCTGCAGCACCCAGCAGGTACCGACCGGGATGGGGCCGGGCCGACCTTCCTCCTTCCCTTACCCGGGGGATTTTGTAGTGGGATTTGCTCCGTTTTCCTGCGGAATCTTACCCTTTTCGGTGTGATCTACCACATACTAATGGGATCTGATCTCTCCTGATGGGATCTCCCCCTTAATGGGATCTGGCTTTTGCCATAGGGATCTGACCATTCCTGATGGGGTCTTTCCCCAGTGAGACTTCTTTCACGCTAGCGGGATCTGAGCCTTCCCAATGGAATCTGTTGCTTTCTGCTTCTGGTTTCTAGAAAGAGGTTTCCAGTTCTGGTGGCTGGACAAACATCCCAGCAGTTTGGGAAGTACTAGAGCAGCTCATGGATAACAGGGATGTGTCAGCTGAGAGCTGTGACATGGTGACCTTCCATGCTTGTCCCATGTGTGTTCTTGAGGGATGTGGTTTTGGGGTGTGGCCCATTCTGTAGGGTGCCGGCAGGACCTGACCTTCCTGCAGGAGAAAGATGCTTATGCTGATTTTACATAATGAATGAGTGAGAACAGCAACTCACTGTTTGGGTGTAAAACCATACGTCAAGGTGAGGATGGTGGGATGAAAGCTGGGTGTCAGTCAGGCCTGAGGAACAGCACTTGTTTTGGGGTGAGAGGTGAGTCATGTTTGTGTGTCACTGCAGGGCGATGGGCAGCTGGGCAGGCTCTGCTGTCACAGCTGCCACGCAAAACACCTTAATCTTTGGCACTGCTTGCCTTGGGCTGTTTCCCTTTCGTCCTCCTTTCTTACATTTTTTCCCCACTTTTCCCTTGCTCCCCAGCATTTTCAGGGGTTTGAGTGTTCTGCTATCTTGCTACTGTTACCCTAATGGGTACCGGCACTTGCCTTCAGCATCACATTGACAGGGTCCTCTGGGATCCCTGGGACATCAGGATGGTTGGCTGCAGTTCAGGTGCTTCTTTCCATCAGCTCAGCCCAGAATCTTGGATCTGAACATCAAGGAGCTTTGAGATGGCTGGGACTCATTGTGAGGACACAGGGCTGTCTTCTGCCAACTCTGTAACCGAGGCATGCACAATCTGCTTTCCAACTTCTCTCCTTTTGCAAGTTTTTGTCTTCCTCACATTGTTGCTGCTGCAAGAATTTCTGGTGTGCTCTCAGACACCAGTGAGTCATCCAGTTCTGGTCACAGCAGCCTGGTGGGACATCAGCTGCAGAGACAGAAAAGCATCCCTGCAAACATGATCTTTTTCTACCTCAGCACGTTGACTGGTGCTTGCTCAGTTGCTCAGTACATGTAGCTGTGGAGCAGGAGGAGCTGGATCGGGTGTTGCAGCCTGTTTGTGTGTGCTTTGTAATTGTGTTGGGTAGGAGGACCCAGCTTTAATTCAGCTCTGATGCTCTGCCTGGTGCTCTGAGTCATGTAAGTGTCCCAGAACCTGCATGTGTAATGAGGACACTCATCAGCTCTAGGGTTCAACCCTAGGCAGCAACAGCTTCTTTCCATGCTTCTGTGAGCCCTGCCTTCCAAAATCTCCATGTGGACAGAGGGATCCCAAGCATAGCCATGCCTCCAAAGAGCCATGCCAGGCAGTGCACTGGAGCTTTTGTTTTGTTTACTGACAGGAAGGATTGTCACTGTGAACCCTTTAGTGTCGCAATGGTTTGATAAGCTGAAGGACGCTGAATTTGTTATCATTTGTTATCTGATTAGGAGGTGAAAGGCTCAATGGAGATGCTGAACTGCTGCTGTTGGAGACCATAAAAATTACACTGCTGTAGTATTTTAAAAGCTGCTGTAGTGTTTTACTATAATGTCTTGAAAATTTGTAGTAACTTTGTTGTCTTCCAGAATAAATACATCGACCAGAGGCTCTCTGCAATTTGCTGCAGTTTTCAGTGTGCTGCAAGCCTGTGTGTGTTCAGGGAATTGCTTAATAAAGCAGAGAACAGTAAATAGGTTGATGTTGCAGAAGCTGTGTGATAATGCAAAAGAAAACCTTCCTTCTGGGGGAATTCCCTCACCATGTCAGTTCCCAGCCTCACCACGTGTGCTGGTTGAGCTCCTGCCAGGTTTCTTGCTTGCTCTGGGCGCTGCATCCAGAATGATTTTGGCAGTGAGGTAGCAAAGTAGAAACCGACACCAGAGACAAATTTCCAGGGCAGCAGAGAGGTTTCACCAGAAATAAGGATTGTCAGGAACTGCTCTGTGCTTTCCATGGGTGGACTCTGTGGTGTGGACCTGGTTTTGCTGTGAGAAATTGGGCTTGTGGAGGGGAAGTGGGGGAGCAGCAGGGCTGACCTACTAGCAGTCTGAACTCACCTTCTCTCATTTATTCAGAAGAGGGGAAAGACAAGGAGAGATGGAGGCTCCTATCCTTCCTGCAATGCCTTTCTTGGAAACAGAGGAGCTGGAGAAAAGATCACAAAGCAAAAGCTGCAAACAACATTCGTGAAGGTATGCCCTGCTCCCTCCCTTGTACTCTGCTGTGACCACCAGAGGTTCCTCACCGACTCCCTGGTGCCCAAATCCCTTGCTGGTGGCCTCCTTCAGCTATTTCCAGCTCTGCAGTTGGCCTGTGTTCCCTGGCTGTGGTTTGGCCTAAACCTGAAGACAACCAGCACACATCTGTCTGCTGTGTTGCTGTCTTCCTGTTTTCTGACGTTTCGCTCACCTAAACAAAACCATGCTGGGTCCGGTGCCCAAACACACCCCTGGAAGCACTGCTGAACTCAGCTGCCTTTTGCAGGAGTTTCTGGCAGCAGAACTACTGTCTGTCTAAACAACAAATTGGAACATCACCCTGATGTTACGTGATGTTTTCTGCAAACACAGCTGGAAGGAGTGTTCAAACCACTTGCCTTTGGGGCTGGCAGAGAGAAGGGAGAGGGCAATCAGCCTTGGGCTCCCTGATTCTAAAGGAATCGTTCAGATAACAAACAGCCTCGTGTTCAGCCTTTGTACACAGTTGGCACTTCTGCTTGCCTCTCCCACCAGTGATTTTCTTTTTGCAGAAGTGTCTCCTGCAGGTGGTAACAAGGTGTGCAGTTTGGAGATCTAGATTGTTCTATGAAGCACAAAGAGGAGGGAAAGCTCCTTTGCTGTAAAAAGAATAGAATAGAATATATTATATTTTCAGTTGAAAGGGACCTATGATGATCATAGGTCCAACTGCCTGACCACTTTTGGGCTGGCAAAACATTAAGGGATGTTATTAAGCATATTATCCAAATGCCTCTTAAACACATAAAATGCTTAAAGTGCATAGGAGTTGGAGAAAACAACTGAAATGTCCAATTTGTATAGCTTTGAGACAGGTCCTTCAGGGTCAGAAAAGTATCTGATCTTGCTGTCATTGCCAGGCAAGTGATGCCTTGTGGCCATGCAACTTGTTCTGAGCCTGCTGAGACTTCAGGAGGCCGGGAGCTGAGCCCTGTGCTCCTTTGCTGTATTCCCTGAAGCAATGTTGAGTTTGTAAAACAAAATGAAATTCAGTTACGAAAAAAAAGCAGCTGTGCTTAGGCTGTGAGTATACATCAGTTGCTTCATTCCATGCTTTCATCTTTTGTATTTTGCATGAGGAAGGGTTTTTCATTCAGATCTCCCCTAACCTCTCTCTGCTCTTTGCAGATGACCTGCAGGACCCCGAGGAAGAAGTGGCTCTCACCAGCCTGTCCCCCAATGGAAAGTGTGAAGAAGCTGCTGAAGGCACAGGCACCTAGAGCTGCTGAGCACCCAGCACAGTCCACATCCCAGATCTGCCCAGTGGATTTCCAGCAGTGGGAGGAGGAGCTGGTGCAATGCTCGCTCACCCTCTCCTCCAAGGACCCACCGCTCCGGGGAGAAGCTGCTTGGCTGAACTCCTCAGGGTCTTCTGGAGCTGCCGACAGCCTCTGGGGTCTGTGCCAGAGAGCCATTCCCTGCTGTGCCTGGAGCTGCTGCTGGACACTGGGCTTCTGAGAAGCCCTTTGGGGATGTATCCCATATCCTGGGCAAGATGACGTTGGGACTTTGAGCATGAAATGCAGCCGCCTGTTTGAAGAATGAGGAGCGTTTTCTAATTCTGAGCAAAGTTCCCTGCTGAGGCTGCCAGGGCTGGCGTCCCTGGCAGACCAATGCTGCTGCCTTGTTTTCCTGCTTTAGTGGTGCTTTGAAGTTCCCACCCTCTTTGTGAGCAAGCCAAAAAAAAAAAAAAAAAAAAGGAAGACAAGTGGCAGAATGGTGTGGAGACTGCAGTGGGACTAAATGAGGTCCTGGATCTACCAGCTACTGAAAAGGCTTGAGTGTAACGGTGTAACATGAAGAATGCAGTAGCAGCCCACTGTGGGCAGCAGGAATAACATAAAACATATTGATAGCAATGGCAGCTTGAGCAGAGTGTGGTTTGGGAGCGGGATTCCTCTGGCTTGTCCTGGTGCTCACAGACTGGCTGATGAACTGCCTGGGTTGGAGGGGTGGCAGGTGGACAGGAAGGTGTGGCTGGTGTTCGATGTGGCTATGGGAGAGGCCCATCTTACCTGGGACACCTCCACAGCCATGTGATGGCAGAGCTTGGAGGTGACGGGCAAAACAAGATGTGGCGGCTTCATAAATAAATGTATAAAAATGATCTATTTAAGTAGTTCCAAAGGGCTGCCTGTAGCCTGTGTGGCAACACAAATAATTATAAATCCTTGATTTATGAGGAATTTTACTCTAATGCTAATAATACCTTTTTCATTCTTACTTTATGAAATGTAAAACATGCCTTGTTTTATTTTTAGCACGAGCTGCTGGGTTTTGTTTGGGGCTGGCTGTCCTTTAAAAGTTTGATCCAGCTCAGATCAGAAACTTCAGCCTGTCATGTCTTGCTTACCTCTTCTCTGGGTTAGCTGCTGATTTGTGTCAGTACATCCCCCATGCATGTCTGTCCCCTCTCTGGCTCCTTTTTTCCCAGTGGCAGATGAAGTGCCTGCAGTCCTGCCAGCTCTGGCAGGCACTCTCTCCCAGCGCTGTGCCTTCAGTATCTCTCTAGCTCTTACCTGGAGCAGGGGATGTTTTTTTTTACCCAGCTCCACTCATGACCATGATCACCAATATTTCTCACCAAACCATATTTCTGTGCCTCAGTTTCCCCACCAGTGGGATGGGGACAGCAACACCTGCCAACCCCACTGGGGCAACACTGGTGCTCCAGTGGTAACACTGGAGCAGAGAGCAGCAGCTCTCGGGTTTGGAACTGGTGCCTTTAGTGATGGTGCTGCTTTGCCCCTTGGGTGTCTGGGGTGTGTCTGCACAGCAGAGCCCAGGTCACTGGGCAGGTCTGTATTTCCCATAAAGCCCTTGGTTAGGTGAGTCCAGCAGGACTTGACACTGTGGTGGGGGGAATCTTTTTTTTCTTGCAGCATTTGGCCTTTGCTGCCAGGAATTCAATGCAGAGGTGGCCCAAGAGCACAGATTTGCAGTTAAACTTACCTTGGTGCTGAAAATCCAATGGATTTATTTACTGGTAATTTTTAGGTAAATCATGCAAGTTTACCCTTTCAGGGAGACTTCTGTGGAAGCAGATGAACTGCCTGGGGCTTTAGGAGGTGTGAGTGGGAATACTTTTGATCAAAAGTATTGTTTACCTTTGACTGAGGAATAAAAGTGTCTTGAATCCTTTTTTCTTTTTTGTTCTCATCTTTTTTCACCATCTGGACACATAGAGCTGAAAGCAGATAGTTTTACATGTTTCATTGATTTAATATGGTTAGAGCACTGTTACATGCTTGTTGTAAAAAACAAAGACATTTAATTTCTGAATTGGCATGTGCTTCTCTTTTTTTGGTTTTCGTTTTTGTTTGCCATGGTATTATCCCTAAAGTAGCACTATCCATGGCTTAACTCATATTTATCTTGGTTTGAATAAAAGGGATATGGAGAGGGAATGGAAGGGGCCCCAGTGTATGATATGTGGTAGACCAGCAGAACTGGTCTGTGAGCAGATCAGGTGGGGCAGTGGGGAAGGCTGGAGATCTTCCCAGTTGTCTTTAAGGTGGAGCTGCCCCTCTTGGGGTCTTGGGTAGGACTCTGGTAACCTTCATCAAGAATTTTCATTAAGAACTTTCACTAATAACCTTCACTCACTGATGCCCTCCAGAAGGCAGCACCGTTGCTGTTGAGCTGGACTTTCTTTCCCTTTTGCAAATCCACCGGTCTGCGTGTCCCATCTGTCCATACTGGAGCCAAGGCAGGAGCCAAAATAACTCCATGCTCTGCCACAACCAGGGCAACTTCAGGTCTGTGTCTGTGCAGATCTGGTCACTGCTCTGCACTGCCAGCTGATTTGGTGGGGGCCTGTCAGAATCTGTACTTGTGCTTCCCTTTTCAAGGAGAGATAGGGTTGGGTAAGGCCTTTCCCCGAGGAAACATATTTAAGAGGAGTCAGAGGCGGCTGCCAAGAGGTGGTAAATCCAAGGGGTAAAATCCCTGATCTCTGTGAAGCTGTGGCACATGCTGAGCCCCCAGAGATACCTCCTCATTGCGGGCGGCCCGTCCCGGCTAGGGGAGTACAGCTGCTCCTCTGGGCACAGCGCAAACACGGGCACTGATGGGGTCACCTGTGGGAACGCCACACACCCGGCCCCGCGAACCCACTGCCCAGGCTGTGGGGTATGAGCTGGGAGGGCTGAGCACCCTCCCATGCCAAGGATCAGGAGCGGGCTGAGCAGGCTCTATGGGTGCCGAGTGTGGTGTGCAGGTGCTGTGTGGGCTCTGTGGGCTGTGCGGGCCGGTGTGAGCTGTAAAGGCCGGTGTGGGCTATGCGGGGGCTGTGCGGGGTCGGTGTGGGCTGTGAGGGTCGGTGTGGGCTGTGAGGGTCAGTGTGGGCTGTGTGAGGGTCGGTGTGGGCTGTCCGGGGTGGGTGTGGGCTGTGAGGGTCGGTGTGGGCTGTGCGGGCTGTGCGGGTCGGTGTGGGCTGTGCGGGTCGGTGTGGGCTGTGCGGGTCGGTGCGGGCTGTGAGGGTCGGTGTGGGCTGTGAGGGTCAGTGTGGGCTGTGGGGCCGGTGTGGGCTGTGTGGGTCCGGTGTGGGCTGTGCGGGGTCGGTGTGGGCTGTCCGGGGTGGGTGTGGGCTGTGAGGGTCGGTGTGGGTTGTGAGGGTCGGTGTGGGCTATGAGGGTCGGTGTGGGTTGTGAGGGTCGGTGTGGGCTGTGAGGGTCGGTGCGGGCTGTGCGGGGTCGGTGCGGGCTGTGAGGGTCGGTGTGGGCTGTGAGGGTCAGTGTGGGCTGTGTGAGGGTCGGTGTGGGCTGTGAGGGTCGGTGTGGGCTGTGCGGGGTCAGTGTGGGCTGTGTGAGGGTCGGTGTGGGCTATGCAGGTCGGTGTGGGCTGTGAGGGTCGGTGGGCTGTGAGGTCGGTGTGGGCTGTGCGGGGTCAGTGTGGGCTGTGAGGGTCGGTGTGGGCTATGCGGGGTCAGTGTGGGCTGTGCGGGTCGGTGTGGGCTGTGAGGGTCGGTGTGGGCTGTGAGGGTCGGTGTGGGCTGTGTGAGGGTCGGTGCGGGCTGTGAGGGTCGGTGTGGGCTGTGCGGGTCGGTGTGGGCTGTGCGGGTCGGTGTGGGCTGTCCGGGGTGGGTGTGGGCTGTGAGGGTCGGTGTGGGCTGTGAGGGTCGGTGCTGGCTGTGAGGGTCGGTGTGGGCTGTGCGGGTCGGTCTGGGCTGTCCGGGGTCTCACACCCAGCCCGCTCCGCCCCTGAGGGGCCGCAGGATGTGCAAGGCCCCCGCGGCAGGGCTGCCCTGCTCCCGCCTGCCGGTTTCCCCGCCGTCCCGCGCAGGCGCTCACCGCGGGCACCTCTCCCGGTTGCGGCGCCGAGCGGCCGGAAGAGGCCCTGGTCGGCACTTCCGGGCCGGGCGGCGGCGGCTCCGCGGCTGGGCCGGACCGGAGCGACCCCTCGGACCCCCCGCGCCCCCCGCGCCCCGGCCCGACCCGACCTGACCCGCAGCTCGGCGCCACCATGATCACCTCGGCCGGTGAGGCGGCGGCGCGCGGCCGCGTGTGCTCGCCGGGGTTTCGCTGAGTCAGGGCCGTGACTGGGCATCGCCGCCGTTCGGCGGGGCCGCCCCTCACGGGGCTCCCCCGGCCCGGGTACCCCCGGGAGCCGCCCCGCGGTGCGGCACGGCCGGTGCTGGAAGCGGAGCGCCGCGTCCGTGTCCCGCCGGTGCCTCGCGAGGGCTCCGGTGCCCATGCGGGTCCCGGGCGGTGCGGGGGGGCGAGCGGAGGGGTGTGAGGGCAGGGTTCGGTGCTTCCAGGGGACACCGCGGGGGGGTGAAACCGGGGGGCTCTCGGAGGAGCGCAGGGGCTGAAAGGGGGAATGGGAAGGACTTCGGAGGAGTTCGGGAATGGGAATGCCTCGCGGAGGGAATGTGAGCCCGGAGAGGCCGGGATAACGAGGCGAGTGAGGAAGGAGATGTCACACACCGTGGGCCTGCCGAGAGCTCGAGAGTGTCAGAAAATACGGGAAGTATTTCCAAAAATACCCAGGCCAGGAATTAACAGTGTGTGGCTATGGCTCTGCAGGAGGAACAGTGCAGGGGACAACAGTCCCAAGTGCTTTCTCTTTTTGAGCCCTTTGCTTTTTTTAAGTGATAGGAAATAGGAATTAATTTCAGAGTGACTTTAAAAAATGTAAAAATGGCATATTGAAGTGAGGTGTGTAGGCAGTGTGTGAGAGTGAGATTGCTTCCTCCTGATAGTTCAGGAATGCAGGACCTTATTTAAAAAAAAAAAAAAAAAGCCACAAAACCCCCCAAAGCAAACGTTTGGAGCTGAGTTTCAGAAAGCAGCTGGAAGGAGCTCTGTGGTCTGGGCTGCTGAACCTGCCTTCCCTGCCCAGGAGCCACGTTGGTGCTCCCTCAGTTGCTGTCACTGATGGACCTGTGTCTCACCTGGTTTTAAAAGATCTCCGAGAAGGGGGCTCTGGGACCTCGATAGGCAAAGTGCATAACTCTGTTACTGTGTGAGAAGACTTTTCATACCATCAAACCTCATTCTTTGGAGCTTCACTAAAGTTTGGTCTTACTCCTCCTGTTCACATCTGACACAAAGGTCAGATTGTTCCCTTTCCCCAGCTGCCCTGTACCTGGACTCTGCACCTTTCCCAGGTTTCCACAGACCAGCCAGTTCCAAGGCTCCAGCCACCCTTCAGGGCCTGGTTCCCGGAGCTCCCTGTTCTTCCTGCCCAGCTCTCAACTCCTGGGTTTGCTCGTGACTCTCACAAGGGGGTGCCCAGCTCTGGATGTGGTGCCAAGGGGAGGGAAGGTGCCAAAGGGACCTGCCAAGAACTGCTCTCACTCACACATCTGTGTGAGGATTGGGCTCTCCTTCTCTCACTGCAGCCAAGTGATATCACTGATCATGTTTCATCTTAACCCTCTCTGCTGTTCACATTCTGTGTTTGTACATTTTAATTTGGACCTGCACATGATCCTTTCAGATTTCAACCCATGGCCCTCCAGCCTTCCCAGTTTCATGTCTTAGATTTAGAAGGTCCTCAAGCTGTACAACAGATGAAAGACTTAAAGCACTGATTTGGGTTGGACTTTGATCAGATCCTATTTTGACTCTTTCTGTTGCATCCTTGCAGTCTGACAGGGAAACCACCCAGAACCATTCTTCAGATTAAGCTCCCCTGGTATCTGTGAACCTCTCAGTCATGTCAGCTAAACAATATTTATGTAGATGTTTGTACAAATGTTCTGGGACAGCATCAGGAGTCTTGCTAAAGATGTGAAGTGTGACATCTCTTACACATGGGGCCTGTTTCCTTGGCATGAAAACGTTTTCTGAGTTCTTGTCTAATATGTTTTCCTCTGAGAAGGATCATCTTTTATAAATAATGTGCCTTTTCACTTATAAATTCTGAACTATTTTACATCATGTTTATACAAACTTGAATCTGATCTCTGAAATTTGATACTGAAGATTTGAAACCAGCATTCCAGAGACAGCCTCCTTTCGTGTTCTGTTGGTTTTTAGCTAAATAACAAGCTCACTGTTGATACAGAGAGTCCAAAACTGACTATGATCTTGCTTTGCAGCTGGAATTATCTCTCTTCTGGATGAAGAAGAGCCACAGCTCAAGGTAAGCTCTTACATCGGAGAGCAAACAGCAGCAAATGCATTATGTTGAGAGCTTAAACTCAAAAAAGGAGTGGATCTCAATAATTAATGGTTGGACAGCAACAGGTGGGCACCAAATTGTATCTAGACTGAAAGCTGAAAGAAAGGGCTTAAGTAACATGATAACAGATGGCAAACTTCCTTGTTTTGAACACGGATCAAAATAGAACTTCAAATGTAAAATCTCTGTTCATCAAAGCTCCCAGCTCTCTGATGGTAACGGTGCTTTGTTACTTAAAGTTGTTCCAGAGACTGCATTTAGTCTCTGTAAAATTCAAAGCTGAAGAACATCTTGAGTTCTTAGCGTAGTTTTAGCCATGTAGAACAAAATCACAGTTAAAGTTTTCACTTGGAAAAAAACCCAAACCAGTAGTAGTATGAAAAGAAAACAGAAGCAGAAACTTTACAGTGTCCAGAGCATGTGAATCCACAGAACAGCAGACCCTCAGAGGGGTGGTGCGCTGATGGTTACCAGTTACTTGAACAGTTAAGGTGGCCCATTTTAGGAGGGAA